TGACTGTTGTGATGGTCCTAGGGAGCACTATATTAAAACTAAGCCATGCCTATGGAAAATTTGTATAATTATCTGTTTGGGGTTGGATTAGAGTAAATCACATTACATTTTGCACAGATGAGAAGTGAATTGAGGAAATTAGAGGCAAACGTAATTCCATGGTGTGATGCCTAAATTCGCCATACTCCTTAAGCCCCACCCTCTTTTGAAACCTGCCAGGCACTACATATGTGTACCAAATTTCATAATCCTCAGTAAAAGCATGGCATGAGGCTGATAGTTTTAATCACCCTAGGGGCCTGTTATTTTAAAGAAATAGGTCACATCCACTGATGTGGCAAGGGGTCAATATCTTAGGCTTAGCCATGCCTACACAGTTATACTTTTGAGAATGTTTTTCACAACTTTTGATCCCCACTGGCTTATGAGTGAAATTTGTCATTTTGAAGTCAATAGGTCAAAAACTCTATGATAAGTTAGCTCTAATTAAGCATGTGCAAAAAAGAAAAGAAGAAATAGTCATGTGACTAAAATGGCTGACTTCTTGTCGGATTTGGAAAGTGGCTCCATAGACTTTTTTGTAGGTTCTGAGACACTACATAAGTGTACCAACTTTCATAATCCTCAGTAAAAGCATGACATGGGCCTTACTGTTTCAATGGTCCTAGGGGGCGCTATTTGAAAAAAATAGACCACGCCCACTGGATGTTTGCATCCATATCTGTTTGAGGTCAGATTAGTCACACTCATGCAAAATTTCCTGCAGATAAGTTGACGAATGAGGAAATGAGAGGCAAATGTTTTGCTATGGCGTTACGCCTGAATTCGCCATACCGCCACAGCCCCTCCCTTTTTCAACACCTGCCAGTACTGGATGCTAAGTGAGCCCAACATGTCAACTGTTATGTGGCAGTGATTCATATTGGTTAGATCAAAAGGGTACAATTGGGAGCTTTCAGAGTAAACACAACCTTTTCTGTTGTGAGGGGGCGGAGCCTTGATGACGTCATCACCTGATTCTTGATTGTTGTTTAGGAGTGGATGACAAACGACCTCAAAATGTTTTGTGACTCTGTGTCCTACGATGATGAAATTATGGCAATTTATATTTTTTAGCGAGAAGTCAGTATTAGGCCAGGAGAAGTCATGCTGCTGAGGTGCTAAGTTGTATCGGTTGTATCAGTGTCAAAGTTGGGACAGTTTATGCAGTGCTCCTTTACTGTGCAGAAGTCGGTTTTCCTTTAAGTATCAATTGCATGTTGTTTTGTTCCAATTATTAATGCATGTTTTTCTTTTCTGAGATGTTTGCTTGTTTATTTGCATGGATTTGTGTTTTCCTGTTATGAGCACAGAAAATGAACTTCTGATTGAGAGCAGCTGCGCAGCTCATAATCACGGACTGATGCGGCTTGGGATTGGACAATCGCGGGATTGGGACTTGATATAAGGACGCTGACAGGTGTGTGTAGGGAGGAGAGACACAGAGCAAAGCCGTCACAGAGTAACCGGGCAGAGGGAGAGACACAGAGCAAAGCCGTCACAGAGTAACCGGGCAGAGAGGAGAGACACATAGCAAAGCCGTCACAGAGTAACCGGGCAGAGAGGGAGACACGGAGCAAAGCCACCACAGAGTAACCGGGCAGCAGCGGGACTCGCGTTCCTGGAACCACGTTGGGTTGCTGTACCAACGCTTTCTATCTCCTGGGAGAGATTAGAGGACGCCGTGGAAGGATCCAGCCGTGACATCAGAATCATTCAACGCCCGCCAAACAGCTAAGTGAAGGGACGTGAAATATTGTGGCTATTTTCTGCGTGCCTGTGGATGCTAGGAGGGAAGTGAACGCCCTCCTGAGCTGTGTCTTGTGTTTTCCTCGCAGCGGCAGAACCGGAGCCAGGGAGGGAAGAGGAGCGGGGCAGCGGCCCACCCCGACTGATGACGAGCTGGAGCAGACGCAATCCGTGACGGAGCCCAGACGAGGGGGGCTGGGCCCTAGCCTGGAGATTTCTAAAAGCACCAGAGACTGAAGGACATCAGGGAGGCCCCTGCAGGACAGTAAAGAGAACGCACCAGAGCCCCAGTTGGTGGGAGCGACTGTTCTTTTCTGAACAGCAAAGACAGTTCTTTTTATATTTTTTAACACTGTTTTAGAATAAAACTTTTTGATTATACTTTGGTTTTAGTCTTCCTTTAGCAGTGGAACTCATTAATGCTGGAATCAGGGAACCTGCTTGGTGACATCAGCACTGCTATGCAGTTTTCTACCAGCAGGGGGCTCTGATATTATATACAACACAACCGATATGGTTTACAAAACCAATTTTTAAATTGGCTATAAAACACAAAAGGAAGGTTAAGTTGCGGAAATAACTAAATAAGATGATAATGGCTGTTACAAAGTTTGTAATAATATATTGACAATGCTTACTTTTTATATTTTTCAAAGATTACAACACTTTAAAAGTCACGGTTTATGAGACCATCAAAAATGGTCTCATAAACCTATTGGTTTCATAATGCTGGTGTGTAACCTGACAAATAGGTCTCACACACACACACACACACACACACACACACACACACACACACACACACACACACACACACACACACACACACACACACACACACACACACACACACACACACACACACACACACACACACACACACACACACACACCTGCCAGACAGCAAAGCAGGACGCAATATCTGAGTCAGAGAATCTCCAAAGCAAGACTGCTCAGGCCGCTTTTGTTTAATAATGGAGACTTCTCTACACTTTATCTCCGCCCACATGCTCCAAAACGCACTCATGACATCACTGATATCTATTTTTTGTGCTAATTTTGGAGCCCGCCTATGTCCTCAATCATGTCTGCATTCCTAAGGCAACGCGGGCGGAGCTGAGTGGAGCCGATGCTAGTGTTTAAATGACATTAGTAAAAGTGGAGAAACATGGTTGTTGTTCAATAATAAAATTATTCCTCAAAAATACAACTTGCCTAATAATTCTGCACTGCCTGTATGACTCCAGTTTTCCCTTTCCAGAAAGAAAAGCGTCTAAATCTGTGACACGTGCAGAAGGGCACGCTTCTTATTAGGGCTGCACAATATATCGAAAAATCGTCATCGCGATAACAGGACGTGCGATAGGCCCATCGCAAAGCACGTCAAAAACGGTGATACATGTTTGGTTCAAACATTTCCATCCGTGTCATACATCAACTTTTTGTAAACCAGCTCTGTTTTTTACGCGGAAGTATTATTTGACCAATTAAATGTAGCCCTTCTGATACGCGGCCAATCAGATGGGTCCGTTCCCGTAATATGCCCGCCCCCTACGTAGACCCTTAGGATGGGTGGAATGCAACACCCGAACTGAGTTAGCGGCGCCATTCCCTTATTCGTCATGCAGGCTCAGATTATCGAACGTACTTTGTGCTGAGGTCTCTGGAATCAGCGCTGCTTTCAAACGTGAACGTGACTCCGCTCGGTGTCGTTAAGCAGCTGATAATAACCGGGCTGACTCCGACACGTGCCGGTGAACCAACCCACCTCCATGTAGCTAGTGTTCCACCGGGTGGTGATGTTAGCCCCAGGCTCCAGTTAGCTTCCAGCTAAAAGGCTACAGCACTCTCCTCCCAGTCCCACTGAGCTGCTTTTTAAGATCTAGGTAAACTTGTACAATTTGGGGTTAAAACCAAACGTTTTCACATATTTTCCATGTAGTTTTTTTGCCAGTTCCTCTTCTGAAAGGTAGACAATTGTTTTTCTCTTTCCCTCAGAAAATCTTAATATTCTCCTAGTTTGGCCCAGCACAGTTCACTTCCCAATTACAGCAACAGCCTTATATCATAACCACATAAGTGGAGAAAATGTTCAGTAGCAATGAGAGAATTTGCTGTTGCATTTAAGTGATGTTAACTATTATTTAACATTTAAACTTATTTTCTGATGTTTTTATTTATTCAAAAACCCTGGTAAGGGACGTTTTTCTGTATTTGGAGCATCAGAAAAAGTTTTATGGTGGAGGTGATGTTTTAAAGTCACTGAGAAACTGCATGCATGCAGTTTGTTGTTTTGCTGCTAATACAGTAGCAGGTGCAGCTGCATATTTTTTCAATAAAAATGTTATGTTGTAATGGAATTCATGCATTAGTTTTTGTTTGCTTTGAACCCAGAGCAGACATCACACGCCAGACGACATCAACACTGCATACTTTAGTATTTGTTCATTTATCGTGAGTAATATCGATATCGCAATATTAAGCACTGTTATCGAATATCACAGGTTTTCCTAATATCGTGCAGCCCTACTTCTTATCATTTCTTTCCTCAGGAGCGCCAGAGCAGCGTCCAGCCCGCCTGGTTTAGCCGTCAGCACCTCTCTGCCTCCTGCTCTGCTGCTGATTTCTGCCTGGATTCTGGTTCTTTTGCTGTGCACCTCCTGCAGGTCCCCCCCATCAACATACAGTATATATAGGGTCCCTCCTCGAGCCGCCGCTTAAGTTCAGGATGCCGCTCAGGCTCTCGGGCAGCGGCGGAAGCCCCTCAGCTGCGTTTAGGGCCGCGGCTCTGCTCAAACTCCTGTTTTTCGCGGTGGATCGGCTGTAGGAACGCCGAGCGTCCTCACCTGGTAATAAATAAATGCTGCTCTTTGTGCAGATGGGGGCATTCACCGGTGGTCCCCTAATGAGACACAATGCATTAATGTCTGCCTTCAAAACCTTCCTGATGCAGCTAATTAATCCTTATGTCAGATTAATGAAGACACTAGCCAGTTACTTAGGTGGTTTCTGAACAAAGCCTGATGGTTTAAAACGCAACAGTAATATATTTTCTGGACTGGATATAGCCAATTTGATCACTACATTTATTTTTTTTTTCTACTAGATTTGCTCAATTTGATCAGTTCACACGTTTTTTTATCTTGTTTCTGTTTAAATTAGGACATGTCATCTAGTCCAAACACAAAATGGCAGTGAAATAATTCAACAGCTTCATCACAAACACTTTATATAAGAAAAACTGTCAGTTTCCAAAAGGCTTCAGATTAGCGAGTTAAAACGAAGGATTTACATGAAAGTTGCACATTTGAGAATAAACTTTTTATTTAACCACCTATGTGCTAGCATGTAAACCGGCGCCCTCTGGTGGACAAAATGATCATCTACAGAGCAGAACTGAATTTATTCTAAGTCACATAATTAGAAAACGGATCACTAATTTTTTCAAATATTAAGTCCTAATAATGTACAGCGGGAAAGGTGTGTGTGTTCTAGATTAAATATGAAAATGAAGATTCTGAGTCTCAATTTAAAATTTGAACTACAAAATGTCCTCACAGACACACTTTGTTATTTACATCAAACCTTTTTTTACCCATCAAACGATCAAAGACAACTAAAGAAAGTCGATCTGCTTTGACAACTGATGAATGTTTGTACTCATAATTTACAGTTTGACAAAAGCAACATACTTCTGCCATCGGCACACCTACACTTTTTCAAGAGGAACTTGAGCACATTTGAATTGTGATCCAATTTCCATTTAATTTGAGCTTTAAGCAAAGAATTAGGCAGAGAGATAAAGCCGACCCAAAGTTTGTACCCTACAGCAGCCAGAACAAGAAAAGATATTCCCGTCACTCCGTAGAGTCAACCAGTCTCCTGTGGTTACTGGCTGAGCTCCTTGAGGCTGCGCAGTGAGCTGGCGCAGCTGGTGATGAGGCTGCAGAGCTGGATGCTTGCCTCAAGTGAGGATGAACTCTGTAACTGGGTAGTGGCCCAGCGAAGTTTAGTAAGAACTGCTTCCTCGGCTTCCTGCAGCACAGGTCGTAGAGCGGCGCTCTGCGGACTGACAGGGGTACGAATGGGAGCTACGCTTGGGCTGGAGACAGGAGCTGAAGGAGATGGGGCGGGAGGTGGAGGCAGGAGGGCTCTTCCTCCAGCAGCAGCGCCCTCACAGTGCTCTGGTCGGGGTTGAGGAACCGTCACCCCTGCCTGACTGCTGCTGCAGGGTGTCTCGTTGAGTTGAGAGGCTTGGGTCGGTGGAGGGGACTGAGCTGCAAGCTGCTGCTCTCTCACCTGAGACAATGCAGCCTGAGCATTCAGAGCTGGAAAACAGAACAAAGAGGTGGGACTGAAATATGAACTGGAGAGATTAAATCCTAAAGACACCACAGAGGAACCAGCTGCCCTTTTTTAGGGCCTAATGAGCTCCAAAATCAGGGGAGAGCAGACACAACTGGCGCTCACCAGGGTTATCTTTGTCGATATCAGAGTCCAGCTCCTGACACGAGACACAGTAGTTCTTCTGCTGCTTGTCCTGTAGAAGAATAGTCTGAAAACACACACACGAATACACACAATCACTTATATAGCCATAATTATGTTTTATAATATTTGTTACTACTTCAACTTCAGGACAAACTACCAGAGGCCCAAAAAGAACAAAAAAACACCACTTGAAGTCAGTCAACAAAAGATGTTTGGACCTAGAAAACAGTGACCGGTGTTTAGCGCCATCTCTTTTCCTCTGGCAATGCAGGTTCCTGTTTCCGGCCAAGGACAATCGCTGATGGGAGGGGTGAGCGTTCCTTGACAGTGTTTGTGTTTAAGCTTAGCTTGTTTTGAAGATTTGCTTTTACCTTTTTTAGTGTGTCATTACAACAAAATGATAACCGCAATTCTCTTAAGGTAATTTGAATAAGTCAGTAAGTAAATATTTTGCAAAAATACTTTCATAAAACAAAAGATAAATTCCTTATTAATGCTTAGGCTCTGTCCTCAGCAGGGAGGCCACAGAGAGGTGCAAGATTGCTGTCAGGGTGGCACTGGCCCACCCTGGACCCACCCCAGAACCGCCTCGGGCCTGAACTCACCCCGCAAGCATCGCAGCACTCCCCCAGCATCTTGTAGCCTTTTAGAAGGTAGTCTCCCATCAGCTTGCTGATTTTATCTTGCCGTTCCCTTCGAGCTTGGATCACCTTCATCTCCGCCTCACATGGAGGTTCCCACTCAAAGTCCTCTTCATCTGCAGGTCAGCAACAACGGAGTAAATTAACTGAATCGCACCAGTGCAAAGCTACACAACCAGAAACACAGCTTTAATATTTACGCGTGGTGATTTATTTTCTCGTTGTTTGGCTGAATTTTTATCAAAAGGGGTCAGGAAATGACAAGTTAGCCAGAAATACAACGCTGTTATCGTGGAGATAACACTTTCCCCGGTGGCGATGAAAAATATTACAATAAAAATAAAAATACCGCAGAAATCACCGCTTAAATGAGTGCCAAACGACGTAAGACACTAAAACACACAGTGAAACGGCAAAGTTAGCAAGGAAATAACAGTTAAGTTCACATACCTCCATTCAAAGCCATGTTGCTTCAGTGCTACACGTTCTGCGTGATGACATCAGGCGCTGTCGTCGACTTCCTCTTCGTTCATCAAACTGAAACCATGCAGCGGGTTAGAGCGCCCCCATGTGGGGGTGATGCGCATAGACATGTAGACACCCGGCGCTGGAGAGCGTCACTGTGTCGCCGCCATATTGGATGGGTCTCCTTACTGTCCAAAGTCAATGCAGAGTGGACAAATTTGCCCGTTTTTTCCAGCCTACCATAGCTATGTGTATATAAACCATCGACATATACATGATATAAACACTAGTTGGTGAAAGCGAGAGTTGAGGGCGTAGCTAAACGGCGGCCATCTTACCCCAGACAACAGACCTCTGCTCTCAATGGTAGCAGCTGGAAGGTGAGCGATCAGCTTGATGTAAAACAATCTTTACTCGATTAAATATTAACACATTTACAAGCGATTTGCCTTGATACAAACCTTAGAACACATAGGCTTGAGATAACATACTTGCAAATGTTAAAATAAACGGTTTTGCTTTTGAAAGTGACTTAATTGTGAACCATGTGCCCCACCTGTAGGCTATTTGCGTGTTATTCAGGTTGAGACCACAATAAATAATTTATTTGGTTTTACAAAACCAATAACGATTTTACGACAGCCAATTATTTTTTGTCCAAATGGCTGTGTTTGGGGATTTATTTTTTTATTTTTTTGTATTGGCACTGGAGCCTATCTCCAGCAGTCAACGGGCATACAGGAGGGGTACACCCTGGACAGGTAGCCAGCAATATATATATATATATATATATATATATATATATATATATATATATATATATATATACATACATAATTTAGCCTTAATCTATTCCTGTTCTGTGAAATAGGTTTTGTTTAGAGATGTTTCAAGATTATTTTGAGGTAAGCCCACATAAACAGAACACATATGCAAAATGTGCACCCCAAAAAATAAGACAACCAACATCCAAATTACATCGGTCAGCTAGAATGGGCCGCCAGCAATAAAATGTAACCCAGCTAATTATTTTGTATTTTCACTATTTCTCGACCTATTTATTGACTTTCTTTTATTCTGTCATGAATCGTGTGTTTGTCATGTGTTTATATACATATCTATGATTGCAACAACTGGCGTACTATTGAAAACAGATCACATGGGATTACTATGGACCTTTCTAGCCTACCTGATGGAATTTTATATCTTAATTTATTTCATCTACTTTTAATTATTATACCATACCATGTGTCTGATTTCGTGAAAAAAGCTTGATAAAATGTGATTTCAAGTTGGATAAGCACCTTCCTCAGTAGAAATGAATGCACTGGGGTGAATGGAGGCCCATCTAAGATGGCATCCGACGTTTGCTTATATATGCCTGTGGTGATGTATGTATGTATCTATGTATCTATCTACGTATCTATGTATGTATGTATGTATGTATGTATGTATGTATGTATGTATGTATGTATGTATGTATGTATGTATGTATGTATGTATGTATGTATGTATGTATGTATGTATGTATGTATGTATGTATGTATGTATGTATGTATGTATGTATGTATGTATGTATGTATGTATGTATGTATGTATGTATGTATGTATGTATCTATCTATCTATCTATCTATCTATCTATCTATCTATCTATCTATCTATCTATCTATCTATCTATCTATCTATCTATCTATCTATCTATCTATCTATCTATCTATCTATCTATCTATCTATCTATCTATCTATCTATCTATCTATCTATCTATCTATCTTTCTAATATCTATCTACTATCTATCTATCCATCTATCTATCCATCTATCTATCTATCTATCTATCTATCTATCTATCTATCTATCTATCTATCTATCTATCTATCTATCTATCTATCTATCTATCTATCTATCTATCTATCTATCTATCTATCTATCTATCTATCTATCTATCTATCTATCTATCTATCTATCTATCTGTCTGTCTGTCTGTCTGTCTGTCTGTCTGTCTGTCTGTCTGTCTGTCTGTCTGTCTGTCTGCCCACCCGTCCACAATTAATAAGCAATGTTGCATGCATTTTATAATAATTTTTAAATAAATTTGTAATTTTATTCTGTTGTACATTTTCTTGATTATTTGTTGGAATGTTTGTTGTATGCATTAACCAGTCTGTTTTATTTAGTAAATCTTGCTCTATGTTGCTGCGTAACACGACAGTAAAACTATTCTACTCCCTGTAGAAGGTCTGGGATCTTGGATGAAATGGGCAACATACCTGTGGAGGTTTATTGTAACCAGAATGCAAAAACTACATAAAAAAAAGAAACACAAAAGTTAATTTCAAAGTATTTCATTGTTTAGTGAGATGTTTGACAGGTTCAGTAAAATTATAATAACACACTGAAAATTTCACTCAACAGGAAAGTAAGTGTGTTACTTAGTTTGAATGCACAGTGGCATTTATGGACTTCAGACTTAATCTGTTTCATCTTTTATTTTCAAAGTAGACAAAGGCATAGTCATGTCATTTTTGTGAGACTCATGTCAAACTGTTAAATTCAGTTTGGTAAACCAAACATTCTCTATAGCTAAAAATCAATACCTCCACTACAGAAACATAAACAAATTAAAGCTGTGAGAGGACAGAAGTTGAAGGTTTTTTATCCTTCTGTTCTGCTCTGAAGAGACGTCCTTCCTCTCCTGTTCGTTGTCCTTGACACCAGCCACACTCCTTATTCTTTCATTCTTTATCTCTGGTTGCCTTCTTGAACTTCTGAGGATGCCTTATCGATTCGCAGGACAACCTCCTCTCTAGAGAAATAAAGTATTATATTTAGAAACTATACATATACAAGATGTCTATAGTAAAGGTGCATTTTAACTAATACTTACAGCAATGTGTGGTCCTTATTCTGCTTGGTTTTAAAGGAAGAAAACAACAACAAAAACATCATCAGTCAAACTTCAACCTCAGTTGTTACAAACTCAACTATGTGTGGTGAAAAAGTACCTTCAGGTTTGGGGTGCATGAGGTTCAGGGGAAGCTCCACTGTGACATCACTGTGCAGGAGAATAAATCAACCAATCAGCAAAGAGGAACAACTGGCAAATAATGAGATGCAATTTAAACCACAGCAATAGATGAGGCTTACCTGGCAGTGAGGCCACCCAGCAGGCTGAAGACAAGAACAAAATTAGGATTTAATCCTGTGTGATCATTACTTATGACATACAGTTTAATGTCAGTGCAGACTCACCCTCCTCCAGCCACCATGAGGTTAATTTTAATCTTGTAGGAAACCAGAATACCCAACACCTCTTTCTCAATTTCTGTCTTCAGCCTGTGAAGGAGGAATTAGAGGGATTTAGGGGAATTAACAGATATATTCATATGAGGTGTAGAACTGTGAAACATCCTGAGTTGCATTCATAAAAGACAAAGCTAGAAATTCTAAAATATATAAAAGAGAAAAGGGCTGTGTCCAAGTAAATATTTTCTTTTCTACTCATGTATTTGTGAACTGACATGGTGGTAGAAGCCAGGTTTGTGTCCTCGTCCTTAAGCCGTCCGTCCAGAGCCAGACCTCTTTTCTCCTTGTTTTCAGACAGAGCAGGTTTGATGGTCAAGGTTTTCTCAAAAGTGCTGTTGGCCTCCACCGTCTCTCTGGACGTGATAAAACACAAAAGCAAATAAACACATCAAACCAATATATCGATCGGCTGATATATTGATCGGCAGGTATATTGATTGGCTGATATATCGATTGGCTGATATATCGGGCCAGTATTTACCATTTTTTACATATTGGCATTGCCAATATACCTCTTTAGTAGAGCTGATATCAAAACAGGCACATCCATGGGCAGCCTAGTGTTGCTGCCAAGTTTTATTTGAATATAATTTTACGTTCCTGAGAAACATCAGCTTCATAATTGCTCTAAAACATTATTGTCAGCCAACATTTCTTGTTATTTTCCTGTTTGTATATTTGTAGAAAGTGGAAAAAATTGAGATATCGGCCATGAAAATCGTCCAAAAAATCAACAGCACATATCGACCACGGGCTGACCATGCCCTCTACTTATTGTAGGCAATAGAAAAAACAATTTCAGTCGATCTGTACTTGGCATGCCTTTGGTGTCTGCTTGACATACCCAAACTCCTGGCTCAGAACGGGTTTGGTGTATTTGTCTGCTGAGTAGAGGACAATGTCGGTGGTTTGTTCCACTGAAAAAAAGAAAAAGATCATTAATAATCAGGTTGTGTGCTAGCCACAAGCAAGCTAGCAACAGAATAAGATTTGGGTAGAACGTGTATTTTCACAGAGGCACCCACCAGTGATTTTAATGTGCTTGACCGTTTTGTTGCTCTCATTGTTGATTTTGACTTTGATTGGGATAGATTCACCATGGAAGTACAGCTGTGAACAACAAAATAACCTAATTTAGTTTAAGTTATACATAAAGTGTGTGATGAGAAATGTTTGAGACTCACATCTTTCTCCATGGATGCTTCGAGGTGGACTGGTTTGTCCGACATCATGAAACTTTTGCAGACATCCGCCTTTGGCCCGGCACCCACATGGGATGGGGCGTACTGGATTTTACGAATAACTAGACGAGCGGTGTCTCTGTGTGGAGAGGTGGAGGGAAGATTAGGGAACAAAACCCAGAACTGGAAACAAAACTATGGCTAAAATGTAAAGACGGCATACTTCTTTTCAATCTTCTCATCGGGGTTGTTCTTCTCTTTGGCCAAGTAGGTTTTAACCTCAAAGTCAACACCGCAAGCCTGCAAGCAGAAATACAATTATGCCAAAGAGTCATGGTGTTGCATTGACTTACTATAACCGAAGAAAAAAAGCAGCTAAATGAGGAGACTTGCCTTCCCTTTGTCTTCGGGTCCTGGTTGCAGAGAGACTGAGCATGGCAGGTTGTTGGGAATCTGAATAGAAAAAAATGATTTGGTTGGCAAACTTAAATACTGATGTGCAAGACAGAATACATTTTAACCCATTTTTTAGGCTGTGGCATTTTAAAGGAGTTGTTCACTTGTTTAATCAATATATTTGCTGTGGTCTCTAGTATGAATTAATGCCTTGCAGGCAGTAGTCTGGGCACAAAAAAGCCCACAAACCCCTGGCTCAGCGGGACCAAGTCTGCAGCATCACAGCAGAGCTTCAGACGGCAGGTTTTGGAGTCTTACTTCCTGATATTTAGACATCTCGCCCCTGGTTGAATGACAGAAATGCGATTTTACCACTGACTTACAATATGGTAATTTTATTTCTACAAATACCACAAGCCTGGAGGAACTTCTGCTGTGTTGTGAAGTTGCTAATGCTAATGGTTAGCATAAACTAGCCGAGAAGTCCCCTGCTGATTACCGGACATTAAAACAACATCAGCCTTCCCCATCATAAATCATGATGGGTGAGTCCATGAATGCCAATTCTCAGTGTGACATAGATCTGTGAAAATTTTTAAATCCTAGAGTTTCACCATCTATTTACTATCAGAAGCTAATGCAGGGGATAGAAGTAGAAGACTGTTTTCATGTTCAGCTGCATGAAAAACTCAGTGACCGATTAAAATCAGAAACAAAAAGCATTTAAAAATGTTTTAGCAGTCAACTACACCTTTAAAAATGTCCAAGTCTTATATTTCAGTCTTTATTTTACCAAAATTCATCCAGTTATGATTAAACAAGTAATGTGTTCAAGTAAAACGTAAAAAAAGAAAAAAGAAAAAATAGAACATGACGCCTGGATCATCTGAGGTTTTAAATGTTTCCCGTACTTCAAAGGAGAAGGGGTACGAGTTGTCTCCCGCCTTCTTCATCAGGGTTTCGTGCATGGCACTAAGTGCAGGCTTGGTGCCGTCAGGGTAGAGCTGGACTTGATGGATCCAGATGTCCTTCCTGAAGCACAGTCCCATCACATCCAGGTCTTCACTACCATAACGGAAGGCACATGCCAGCTGTACAAAGACTGTCGACCAAAAGAGTATGTTTTATTATTTCATCACTTCTTTCTCCAGTTAGACTTTTAACTTTAGAGATCCAAAGATGTAAAGGACTCATAGAAGGAACAGGTTATTAAGATACCTTTCCTGTCACCAAAATCAGCTGGGTCCAACTTCACAACGCCATCTGGAATAAAGAATAACAGCTATAGCTATAGTCTTGACAGTGCATTTTTATGTACACAAAGTGAGTTAAAAGGAAAACATACCAACTGCTTCCACTTTAGTGATGTGGTCCACATAATCCCTCTTTCCCAGGTAGAGGGTGAGCTGTCAGAATAAGAGAGAGAGAGGGAGGGGAAGTAAAGTTTCAGACGATAAAACGATTCAAAGTGAACGTTGTGAGCTTCTAAACAAGAGAACACTGACCCCTCCATTTCCACTGGTCTTCTTAAAAACCCTGCAAACAGAAAAAGGACAAAAACCTTTATTTCTTTAATTTTGGCAAAGAAAAACAGGACTAATTTAAAAGTGCAGTGTAAGAAAGGAAATATAGAGTTAAATTAACCACGTTATGTCAATTGGTTCCAGTAAATCTAGTTGCTCATATGCAAATAGTAACATACATTTACTTTTAACATAACAATGTATAAAAATATATATTTATCTTTATATTTAATCAACTAGGTTTAGAGCAGTGGTTCTCAACCAGCGGGGCGGGAGGGCGCATAAGACGGTGCACCCCTGTCGGAGATTCCTTGACGGAGAATACAAAGTAGATGCCATAATCAACGCACTCCCTCCTCTGTTCTGGATGCCTTGACATTAGAGGGGGGCCCTCACTGAAAATAATTGAGAATAACTAGTTCAGGGGAACCAGTTGACATAACTTAGTAAATTAAATTCATCATGACATTTCTTAGAGTGTACGTTTCTCAGCCTTTGGCAGTAGGGCAAAAGACATTTTATTCCACTTCATCCAGTTTAAGAAAAGCTAAATGTGGAGCGGCTTAGCCTTATCCTGCCCAGATTGAGAGGCTGGGTCAGGTGAGGGAGCCACAAACACTGAGACGATGTTCACAAACAGCTCAGAACCCGTGTGTCCCGTGTGAAGCTGATTACGAGTGTTAATGTCTGTGAGCATATTCTGAACAACACTCCAAGGCCTAAGCTAAAGTAAATGCCTCAGGTGTGTTTGTCACTTTTAGGAGATGACCTTTAGCTCTGAGGTAGTCCAACTTCCACATTACTCTTGGTTTCTAAGTGACCTTTCAGTAGGTTTCAATTTATTTTTAGTGGGCAATCATAATAATTTCATATCCTAGAATATTGTATTATTTCATGTTGTAAAATAAATCATGTAGTTATGTATTGTATTTTGTTATATTGCATTTCATTGCATTATATAATTTCACATCTTACATAATATTGTATTGTATCGCATCACATGAAATCGTATTGAATCGTATTGTTTTGTATCATATCAAATGGTATCAAATCGCATCGCATCAAATCGTATTGTATCGTATCGCATTGCATCAAATCATATCGTATCAAATTGCATCACATCAAATCGTATCGTATCACGTTGCATCAAATCGTATTGTATCATATCAAATTGTATCAAATCGTATCAAATCGTATCGCATTGCATCAAATCGTATCGTATCAAATCGCATCAAATCACATCGTATCAAATCGCATCACATCAAATCGTATTGTATTATATCGTACATAGTATAATATATGTATTCTATTCTACTGTATCGTATTGTCTACTTATGTAACATAATGTATCTTTTACAATTTTACCTAAGGAAAAAACTGAGAAATTTCTAATTGCACACACTGAGCCAAGATGTGCCCAAATGGTCATTTACAAGGTCCACCTGGATTTCTATCAACTAATACCACTCCAGCTTTTCAGTACTTAACCTTTTTTTGCATGAATTTGGTTCAGCAAATATTCAGATCATATTCTGTGGCTTGCTAAATGTCTAAGACTGCATCTAGATACTTTCAAAGGATTATTAACATTATAAAGTGGATTTCTTTTTAGGCTGAACAGGTATTTTTTGTAAATTTCTGCTGTGTTCCATATTAATTTACTCTGCTCAGTGAAATAAGTGTTGCTTTTTAGAACTTTAGAGTATTCTCTAGAATCCTACCTTTTATTTTGATACCAATAACAACTCAAATAAACCTTGTAGTTCTTGACATTTACTCAATTCATTTTGAGCATGTCTTTTTCAAGCAAATCTCTGTAAAATTGCTTAGGGTTGAAGGCTTTATATTGAATCAAATAAAATCTTGAAAATTACTTCTGTTCATGATCTGTCATATCATATTGCATCATGCATCTTATTTGTAACATATTGTATTGTAATACATTGTATGCCATTTTATATAGTATTGTAACATATTATATCACATTGTGTCTCAACATATCATATATCTGACATCATTTTGTATCATATTGTAATACCTTATGTCGGATCGTATTACATTGTATTGTGTTGTATGCATAATATCACATTATAAATCAGATATTTTGTATCATAATATACGATGTAGTATTTTCTATAATATTGTATTATATTTTACTACAATATTACTTAAAATTGTATTACAGTGTAGTAAGTTACATCCTATTGTATTGTATTGACGATATTGCAACATATTGTGTTATACTGTATTTGGTCATTTCACATTGCGTCATAATTCATTCTGGTAAAAGTGCACTTGCTGGTCATTCACATAAACATAAAGTGTGCTGTTTTGACTTTTAACCTTTAGAAAGAACCACTAAATAACAAATAAAATCAATACTTACTTTGCCATTTTGGAAGAATTTCGATGGTGTTCTGTTGGAATTAAAAGGAAAAAGAAGATTAAAACACTAACTGAGCACCTTCTGTTGGGTTTTTGGCAGCTGGATTACAGGTTCTGTTTTAGGAGTGATAAAGGTTAATCTGTTGTAATGAGATTACACCCATGGTGTTAAAGGCCACGACCAAAGCTGTAATGCTTTCTGCTCACTGCTCTCCATCCAACAAACACAGGCCTCACAATTTACAGAACACGATGCCATCATCACCATTCCTCTTACACTGATGGAATGGCTCCTGTCTCAGAGGACTATGTAAGGACAGTTAAATGCATCTGCATCTTGGTGTGATCTGTGTATTTCTGGATACGAGATACCACGTCTTAAAAGTAGCTTACTATACAGTAGCCCTAAACCCAAAATTATTTTGGTCTTCAGTTGTACGTGAAAAGTCAAAGTTGTGCTGTCAGTGTGACTTTTTTTATCACTATCAAGGTAAATTTTATTTTTGCAAATATCAAAAATACTTTCAAAAATACATAATTGCTTGCATTCAATACACCAGTAACCCCAGATTGACGACTATTTCCAAAATAATCCCACAACGATATATAATTTTAACTCTGGAACAACTGACTGGGTTATTGAAAAATACACACAAAAAATGGTTAGGGTTTTTTTTAATTATGAGAAGATATGATCATTTTAACAGAAAATTAAGTACAGGATAATGAAGTGAAATATTTCAGGGGTTGATTATTCATGTTTGCTGGACTGATCGTTGCGCAGAAGCAACAAACAGTAACAAAAATGTGTTAATTAAACAATCCTAATTTGTTTTTCCAAATGTTTTCTCAAACTACAAATCAATTAATATTATGATTTATCTTTAAATAGTTTTAGTGTTGTCCACAAAAGGCTTGTGCCACCCATGCACAAAAACTCACCCCATTTTAACAAGTCTGGGCACACCACTATTTAAATTCAGTGCTTTAACAGTTTTATGTTCACTTAGAGATGTATTTTACATTTACTTGATGATGACTGAAATATTTTTTAGTAATAATTATCACTACCACAAATTTGACTTGTTAGATGGGTTTGAGTGCCGTTAATCTGGGATGCATGTATGTAATTACAATAAAAAAACATCGTTTATGAAGAATTTTTGCCGAGAAGAGAGAAATCTGCAGTGAGCATTATTTAAAAACATCACTTTTCTTTTAAATTTTTTTATTATGCTTTTCAACTTAAATGATACATTATTAAAGAAGTAATATGCTAATTTGAGTAAATTATGAAAAAATGCATTAATACTTGTAACACTATTATATATATATATATATATATATATATATATATATATATATATATATATATATATATATATGTGTGTGTGTGTGTGTGTGTGTGTACATATATATGTATGTATATATATATATGTATATATATATATATATATATATATATATATATATATATATATATATATATATATATATTTAACCTGTTAGTATGAAAAGAGCATTTCAACAATTAGTTATTTAGTCGACTGTGAAGTTTAATAAAGAAAATCAGATTTCTGAGTCAAAGCAAAAATGTAACGTCTTACCTTAACTTCGTAGCTTGTGATCTTTTCAGTATCAGAGAGAGTTGAATGAGTTCCAGAGCAGTTGTTCTCCCTTTTATACCGTTTTCCTCCAGCCATCATTCAGACTTAACAGGTTCACCTGAGCTGTCGCTGACTCCTCCGAAATCCTATTAAACAATCAGTGGAAAGGGTTTTTTTTGGCTACGAAGGGTTTAAAAATGGCACCTAACTAAATCAGCAACCACCACACGGCTGCGTTTGTAACACACTGGTAATCCCTTCTCTGCTGCCACAATTTAAATAACCACACTCAGATTTAGACAACCTGATGAATTAGCATTATTACTTTAGTTGATGATGGATTTTTTTTTCCTCTGGAAAGAGTTGATTATGATTTAGAAAAATGACTAATTTAGCATGAATGGGGGGCTTAATAATAGCCCCTTTAGTCCCTATATTTATTGTGAACTGAGTCAGATCTCATATTATTAGCTGCTCTCATAATTAATTTTATTACGAAAGAAGTAAACAAACTAAGAACTATATTACTGCCAATAAGAAAACAATTAGATTATACCAAAACATAATTATCTTGGCAATAAAAGCTCAAACAGTTTAATACCTTTCATAGGCTGATATTTATTTGTTTAGAACATAGGTTTGAATGTAATTTATTTGGAGTCTTTAATGACTGATTTGGGTTAGGGTTTGGTACACGCGTAGAACACATGTTAAAGTTTATCATGGGTTTTCTCAGAAGGATAGTGCCAAATGAGTCAGCATTTAATTTAACCCTGAAATACCAAACCGACTTCAGCTCGTAGTTTTTATTCTTATGAAATGTGGTTTTATGGTCAAAGATGGAGCCATTTCAGCACAATGACAAGAAGTATGGTTGAAAGAGACGAAATACAGCTTTCAAACCAAGGAACGCTCAACTGTACAGCAATGGTGGTGGTAGCATCATGCGGTGGGTAAACAAAAGCTGAGATTGGGGGAGGGTGACAGGGAAAATACGATGGTTTGGTCCTTTCAGCCATTGTGTCTCCATACGTAGTTGGACCTTTCAGGACTTTGCTAATATGCATCAGCATATTGTGACCATTTCAGCAGTGAGTAACATCACAGATCAGCATCAAAAGGTGTTTACAGACATTAATAACATTAAAAAAGTTTTATTCTTTCCTGGATAAGATGACAGTAATGGATGGATGGATATTCTGTCAAAGTGTGTTGTAACTTTATCAATTTCAATCCATTCAGGGGGCAGGTAGAATGTCTGTGTGACGTAAAAAGCAGCTTTTAGTGGCAAGAAGAAGCACTGATTTTTATAGTGGACTAGGAGACAACAAAACGTGTAAATTATGGCATTGTGGGAGGATTTATTTTGTGTCATCGCTCCTTATTTGCTTTTCCTTCCATTTTACTTCACCAGCAACTTTTCCAGTGTTACAAATGCCAGTTGTCTGGTGAGAGTTACAAACAATCAACACGAGTTCCCCTCAAATCTCACACAATAACTCTACGGGACCATTTCTGAGTACATACCCCAGCTCAAGTACTCACTTTGTTCCTGAAATGGCCCAGAGAGTGGTCCAGGCTGAGGACACGAGCATATCGTGAAGGTTTGGTAAATTTACCCAGAAGTTCTGAGAGTGGGCCTTTTGTGGATAGAATACTACTACTACTACTAATACTTGGACAGAGTTGTGTATTTCAGCTATACAAAAACCCCAGAATATCTGAACTGGTTTCTTATTGAAAAAAAAAAAAAAAAAAAAGCTAACAATGACATAATTTCCCCAAAACTTCAACCTGACCATGCCTGGAAACTAACCAAACTCTACCTATTCTCAAAGAAGGATGGTAAATATTCAGCCAGATTTATACGAGCAGCTTGTTGATGGTTATTTAAAAAGGTGCAACTTAAAATATACATTAAACTAAATAAGTGTATGGCACAGTTATTTAGTTTGATGTTCCTTTTAAGCCATCGTGAAGCCACCCATATAAAAAACCGCTACTGTCTGTACCTTTATTATTAGTACATTTGAACCTTGGATTAGTCTGATCCCATAATTGATTCAACCTTGTGCACCCAATGCTTTTTTAAAAATTTGAGTAAGTCTGTTGTATAATCCTGTCCTACCTCAACTCAATAATGCACCCGGTGAGGGTGTGTAAGTGGTAAAGAAACATTACAGTGATGTGTGTATTTTGAGGATTCCTTGGAGCGTCGTGGTATTTCTCTGTACTCTCATCTGTCTGATGAGATTACCAGCTCCACCCCACGTAACGGCATGGATAACGGAGCTTCACTGGCAACACTGGCATAAGCTGTCTTATTTAACACTGTCTCAGGAACGTGCCAAAGATTAGATGGGATCAATGGAATTCCCTTCCACCTTTGAAACCTCACGACGCCTTCAACAAGTTCATTATAACAAGATTGTGTTTAAAAAAAACTGCGGGGTTAATGCTTGATATAATTATTTAAAATGAAACGTGATGTGTTGGATTTGTTTTAAACAATAACAAAGAATTGATAAGAGGGAATCTATGAATAGTCCATGTTGGTGTTGGGCCAAGATGAGACCTCTGGACTACAGTGATGCCCCACAAGGCAATAGGTTACTGTGTTGTACTTAAAAAGGCTTTAAGAAACCCAGAAGTGGCTGTCAGAGTGGAGTAGACACTCTAAATACAGTGTTATCAATCAGGATGCTCTTACTCTAAATAATAAATGTAGTGTTGGAAGTCATTAAATAAAAGGCTTTATTGGCTTGTGATGTGCCTCACAACCAAGGAAAGAAAAAATATTTTTGAGATAGTTAAAATAAAAAACTGTATGATTGGTAATTGAACGATTGATGGCCTTGTGACAGAAAACAGATTTTCATTCATCAGCTGAGCTTTGATTTAATGATTTAAAGTTTTATTGTCTTAACTAGTTTACCTCTTTTACCATTATGAAAAATTTGCATCAAACCACTTCTAACTTTGAAGCAGCTAAATGAAGTATTTTAATTGAAAACCTTCCATATCTATTTATACGGCCCTCCGGTTGAGGGCCTAAAAATGGCAAGGGCCCATGTTATTAAAAATAAATCACAATATGATATAGTTGTTTTAATGACTAGCCAATAAAGAGTTTAATTTTTAAAGCTACACTTATTTCCATTAGTGCACCATCCTGCATATTTTAGAGGTTTTTCTGTTTCAGCACCTGCTTTTAAAAAGTGGGTGATTAACAGGCAGTTATAGAGCTCGAGGAGACACTGAACAGGTAATTTAACCATTAGAGGTGTGTCAGAGCAGAGAAACAGCTAAAACATGCTGGGTATGCGCTTGAGGACCAAGATTGGACTCCACTGGTGTAGATGGACACGTTTATGTTCTGAATCTTATCAATGTGCCTATTTTAGAACATTTCACTTTCTTTGACATTGAATGTGCTACCACCAGTTTACCCATTTAATTATATATTAACTAAGATAAATACATTAATGTTTATCTCTCACCAAATAGAATATTTACTAAGAAATCACATTGTAACCATAGAAACATTACTTGGTATATATGTTGTGTGTGTTGATGCGTGTTTGTGTGTGGGTGGGCTGGTGTTCGTGTATGCATGGGTCTGCTCTGTCTTCTCGATCCCCAGTGAGTCGTGGTGGATGGCTGCTTATACTGAGCCAGGATCCTCTGGAGGTTTCTTCCTGTTAAAAGGGAGTTCCCCTCTCCACTGTCACAAAATGCTTGCTTAGGATGAGGATTGCTGTAAAGTCTCCGACACTAGTCAGTGACTTGATGCAATTTGCTACGTTCCTTATATAGGACACTTTTTACTGATTGGCTTAATGAACTGACCTGTATTGGAATGTTTATTATGTGAAGTGCCTTGAGACGACTCTTGTCGTTATTTGGCGCTATATAAATAAAACTTAAATTGAATTGAAATTGAATTGTATGCATTACAAATGAAAAAGTCACCCAATATGGATGGATGGACAAATAGATGAAGCAATGGATGGATGGATAATTGGATGTATGCACTGGTGGATAAATGAAGGGATGGATGCAAGGCCGGATTATAATAGGGGTAAACTGGGCACAGGCCCAGGGGCCCACAGCCACAAGGGGGCCCACGCGAGCAGCAGTCTTTTTATTTTTTTTGTGCAGCAGTCTTAACATTGGAGAAACAAGTTGACAAGTAATTAAAATAGCACCCACATTTTCAAGTTAACACACATTTCTTTTGACAACAGTGGTTTCTGCATCTTTACTGTTCCCCAGCTGCTTCAGCTCTCTCCCTCCTCCCCCTGTGCAGCGGCAGCAAACTCACTGATGTGCCTGCAGCCTCTCAGAGTTCCTGCTGATCTAAACATTGAAAGAATAATTTCATTTTCTGTTCCTCACTTCTGATTATTTTCAGTGGTGTCTGTTTCTTGCAACCACCAGGTACAAAAACGAGTTTGTTTTTTATTTGACTATTTTTCTGTCCTGTCTCTGTTTATTATTTTCCTGCATCTCCTCTCAATCCTAAAGAAAACTGCCACCTGGCTTCATATTTTTTTACCTCATGAGTTACCTTTGAACAGCAGTTAAAAATGATCTACTGACTGCAAAAATGGCAGAGTGCGCGCTGTGCGCCGGTCGCACCAGTGAGGTGAAATCATGGGAGGACAAAACAGGTGATGCGCTCCGCTCCACAGCAGCGAAATGCATCAGGAACTAATAAAAGACAGAAAGCATGAAAGGATATGAGCCGATATGAAGGATCGCTTGTTAAATTTGTTTTTGAGGTGGCGACACTGAGAATGTTACTGCGGCCGTGCTCAGGACGCAGCTGTCTGGAGCGCATCAACGATCAGAGCTCTGCGCTAGGGGTTGTATCAACTAGTCGACTAGTCGACTTCACTGCTCTGTGACTTTTTACAACTTTCATAGACTAGTCGCTGTCACGTGATAATGACAGACAAGATGCAGTCCTCGGAAAAGACAGCAGGTGACGAGCCCCTGCACGTCAGGAGGCGATGCGCTGTGCCAGAGCGTCAGTATCTGACACCCGCTGTAAAACGGACATTTGACCGAATTGTGACCTTTACCCTCTTACAATTTAACCTTCCCCTCATCCCCATCCTAACCTTAACCAGCTTGCGCATGCAAAGCTCTGATCGTTGACGTGCTACAGACATCTGCGTCCTGAGCACGGCCACAGTAACATCATCAAATTGAGTGTTGCCACCTCAAAAACAAATTTAACACGCGATCGTTCATGTCGGCTCATTTCCTTTTATGTTTTCTGTATTTTATTTGTGCCTGGTGCGTTTCGCTGCTGTGGAGCGGAGCACATCACCTGTCTGGTCCTCCGGTGACGCACATCACTAGTGCGGTTGGTGCGCAGCGCACATTCCGCTGTTTTTGTGGTCGGTAGATCTTTTAGAACTGCAGTTCAAAGGTAACTCATAAGGTGAATATATATGAAGCCAGGTAGCAGTTTTTCTTTAGGATTGAGAGGAGATGCAGGAAGATAATAGACAGACAGAACAGAAAAATAGGCTAGGCACATTGTGCCCAGGGGCCCCTGCAATAATAATCTGGCCCTGGATGGATGAACCAATGGATGGATGTACTGAGCTCCAAGAAAAAGCTTTAAATGCGGATCTCTTATAGGGTTAAATCTGATTCTATAGAAACCAAAAATATTCTCAGTCTGAGTAATCCGGATCTCAGTCCAAGAAGATTATTGTCTTTTTTCCAGTCTGTAAAACTTTGACTGTAACGGAATAATTAGCGGGTGAGTACAAGACAGGCGATTTGAGGTTTTATTTAGGAGTTTTAAGTCCTGATGAACAGAGATTTATGGAGCATTTATACATGTCAGACATAATCATGTTGATTTATTTGTGATTATTCCATTTTGTGTTATTGGGTTGTTTAGTTGTATCAGACATCTCAGAGCTAGTATAACAGTGGATCCAATGAAAAAAAAATCCATCCAACTCTTATTAAATTTGTTTATATCAACACCTAAATGAAAATAACATTTAATGTTATTTTGATAAACGTGTAATAATAGTGCGACTATTTTAAAACAGTAAACCGCTTATGTGAGTGATGTTTTAACTGGAAGTTTTTAATTTCACTCGCGGAGAGACTAGCTCCCTTCAGCTTTGACGTCAGGTGAGCAGCGCTCCCCTCCATCCCGGTCCGCCTGCTGAGGTGCGCACTCGGCGCGCCGTTCGGCCCACCCGGACACTGCAGAGGACGGTACCGTGTCATCGCTGCAGCTGCTCGATCCCGACACCACGTCCCGCTGCATGCGGAAGTCCCGGGCCCGAAACGAAGGGGGCAGAAGTGGGAAACGCTGAGAGCCATGTCCGAGTCCAGCTCGCGCTGGGGGTTCCCCCGTCTGCGCCGGGCCGCGGTAAGCTCCGCCGGGAGGTGTGGGAGGAAGGAAGGGGCGGTGGGAGGGAGGCTGAAAGACTGCTGCAGCATCTCTTCTGTTTGATGCTGCGACACAGAGAGGATGTGATCTCAAACTACAGCTATGAAACTGCTCTAGGTTATATAGACACACTTAAGCGCTTCAGTGGTAAAAGTCTGTGTAGGACAAACCAATGACAGACCAGTGTGTTAGGACTGGAACTGCAGGTGCGGAACACCGCAGAGTATATTTGTTAAAGCCACGCTGCTGTTTTTTGGTTCTTGTGTCAGATTGGCCTATAATGATGCACAGAATACGACAGTTATGGTTCCTGCCGGGGCAGTGGTTCCCAATCTGGGGTCTGTAATCCACCCAAGCGGGGCCACACATTTTGTCTGTGCTGAGGTTGTGAGGTTTTTACATTAGTAAAATCCCCAAAACATACTCAATAGTATAATCAACACTGTCATGTCTGTATAAAGTTAGCATTTAATCATGTTTAGTGTGTGCATGTGGGTAGAAGTTGAGGGTTAGTGGGTCTTGTCTTGCACATGGGCAAGGGGCCGCCCATGGAAAAAGGGTTGGGAACTAGTCTTGGGGGTGGTGGTTGTGGGGACGGCAGGCTGGGGCCAGCTTCTCTATTAAAGAGGCGCATTTTTAGGAAAATACTACAAACATTACTTTTCAGTATTTAGAATTTTAGTGATTAATTACGACAACAGCAATTTTGTTGCTACAACATCTTTTCAATTAGTGTATATAACTTAATATAAAACATGTATATCTGAATGCATGAATGAATGAATGAATGAATATTTTATTTGGGACAGTGCATGTTAATGAACATACATAGGGATAGCATGAATGTAAACACGCCAGATTAGCCTAGGGCTAATTTCCATCTGTAGTCCTGAGATGGTTGTCACATAAAAGTCCAGTGACGTTAACAAAGAGTTCATTGACAAGGAAATTAAGAAAATCAATGAATAAATAAAAAATAAAAAAATACATCAATAAGACACATATATGAGATTCTAGTCACTGCGGACCCGAGGTATTTGTCACTTTGGGGTTCTCTGACATTCGGAAAGTGGTCCAGTTATAATAAAAAGTGGTCCAATGGCATCATTTAAGCGAGCAGTGATAATAAATACTGAGGGGTAAATTATAAATACATCATATATTCATTACAGTAGTAGGCACATTGGTGAGGATAGCATAGTTCACATTTTTAACATGCATTATTATAGTTTTTGTGTAAGGAGTACACACTACTAGCATACAGGAATTGCATTTGTAGTGACAATAACTTGGTTTCATGATTATGTTTTTGCACCGTGGTTACATAGCTTATTTGACCAGAGCCATTTTTTGGTTTTCGATTTTAATGTGGCGAAGGTGGAACATTTTCTAATGGATTGGGGGAGGCTGTTCCACTGGTGGCCACCCTGTACTGAGAAGACTTTCTGTCCAAATGTTGTTTATCTGAGTATCTAATTTCTGAGTTATTAATCTCAGTGACAACATGAACATGTCTGTCTAAGCAGCTCTTCAATTTTTGCTTTGGTTCCATATCTTATATTAAGCTAAATTATCACAAAAAATATGTACTAATGCTGTAATGGCCCACCTTGGACCCAGGTAAGCTTCATGTTCCATAAACTTCACTGCTCAAAATTTAAAGCAAATTCTCTCATAAAACATGAAGAGGTTTGGTCTCAGCTATCATCTAAAATACATCTAACTGCTAAAATAACTTAATTTCTGAGAGAACAACTTAATGATGTTTACAAGATTATCCAGCAAATAGGATTGAGTTGAATAAAGCTGCATGTGGATGACTGCGAAACCATGTAAAGCAGCTGATTTGCAGCAGCCATTCAAAGGTAATGAGTCAGGCTGTTTTTGCAAAACAGTAGTTAAATAAAATATGATAGACATGGAAGACTGTAAATAATGTAATTCAGGTGAAGGATTAACCAAACGTTTGCTAAACAGAATTATCACCTAACAAAGACACATTGCTTCAGAACTGCAGAGATGAAGCAAATCTTTACTACACATCTTGACATTTTTGTTGCATTGATTAAAAATGTATGTTTTTTGCTCCATTTGTTCACACATTAGACGTGATTCTTGTACGTGCACAGTGTCATTGTTTTTATGATGTAGACACAAATCAACATGCAGACTTTCAATGATAATTCAAAAACAAGAATTTACTCAGGGACTCTGGCCTTTCACATTTGGAACATGTAAAACTGTTAAAGAAGGAAGAGCTGAGTGTTGGACCTGTCGAAGTGCTACAGATGCCAAAAGATTCACCAGACTGAAGGGTGCTGATGCTTTGTGATCTCTTCTGACTGACAGTCTGACCCCTCTGGTCCCATCACTCTGCCAGAGCAGCAGGATAAAGAGCAATCCACTAAAGCTCAGCTGAAAACAGAAGCTCCCAAGGAACTTTTTTCTATCTAACTTGTTTTAAAAAAGCTGATAAAAAATAAAAATAAAAACTTGCAACATCCTGAAAAGTCCTTCCCATTGTTGCCATTTTCACCCAATTTACAGTACTGAAGCAGATAAAAAATAGTTTTATTACATATTTGGTATTTTTAAAATTATATTTCAGGTGTCAAATCACTCAAGGACATTGTTGCTATTGAATTATATGTGCACATTTCAACTACTAAAGCAAACAGTGATTAGGTCTTGATTTTTGCCTGCAGGGCAGAAACCAGAACGACACACTTTAAACATAACTTTATGTGTTGATTGTGAAAAAGATCAGAACTAAGGAATATAAGTTTTTATTGTCCAATTTTAGACCTCTTTTCCTGGCAATCTTCATCTGGTCTTGGTGCTCCGCCCCACTGGCTTGTTGAGCTCCGCCCCCAGCCCATCCTCCAGCACTGACCTTGGATTTCGCTTCAGCCAGGATGACTTCCTGCTAAAGATGCCAGTGAGAGAGGAGTAAAAAATGCATGTTAAGATGTTAGGATCATCTCGTTACCTGAAATAGTTACCCTGCGTCGTTTGTAGGTGGTGATGCTGCGGTCAGTTGGTGATCTCCTGCGCTACATCGATGAAAACCATCTGGCATCAGACTTTACTGCTAAAGTTGAATACTGCCAGAGCGACTGGGTCCTCCTCCGCTCGGTATGCACTCCTGAGCCAACGCAGATCTGTTGAAAGAAGAAATAAAAAAAAAGGTTCTCCCAAATGAGTTTTAACCTATTTTTTTGTGTTTGGTGAACAACGTGTTTACAGTCTATTGAGACGTTTGCAGTGACAGTGAAGGAGATTGCTCAGCTTTTGCAAAGTTTTGGCTCGGAGCTGTCTGAGACTGAACTTCCAGATGAAGCGAATGCCATAGAATTCCTGGTGCACTCCCACACACACCGATACAGACAGATGAAGGTTGGTGCTTGTTCTCCATCTGCCCTCACTTCCCTGTTTTCCTCTCCCACTCTCCTTTTTGTTCTTAGTCTCTCTGATACTTTCCATTTGCTCTAGTTTAGTGTGTTTCATGGTTTTGTGGGCCTTTTGTCATTTTGTCAGGATGATATCCGTGGAGTTCTAAAAGAAGGACGCCTGCTGTCGTCAAACCTGGAAACAGTCAAAGCTGCGAAGAGGGAGGCTGAAGAAGAGAGAGAGATACAAGCGGACATGGATACAGTTCGGAGGTGGATAAAGTCCAGCCTTTAAAAGCGATAGACACAATCGTATTTTTTTAATCATGTCTGGACTTTGTTTCTGTGTGTTCAAGGCTTCTAGCACAGCTAAGAGACATGGAGGAGGCTTTTGATGGTTTCTTCGAAAAACACCACCTGAAGCTGCAGCAGTACCTCCAGCTGCTGCACTATGAAACCAGCTTCCAGCAGGTGTGATAAGTGGTGTCTTCCCATCAGATTATCTTTGGTTCTGCCTTTTGATTTACCTGGTTGTTTGTGTAGATGTACGAGGTGCTGGAGCATCTATCTGATCGAGAGAAGGAGATCGCCTCGGTGGGAACAACGGTGGTCCAGACAGAGCAGCTCCTTAAAGACCTGGAAACCCTGGATAAACACGCTCAGGTCACACCTCTCTGACACCTGATGTCATTTATTGTGATTCACTCGTGTTCTTCAGTTCTAGAAGCAATACTTGGAAAGTTTGTTGCTTCCTGATTTTAGGGATTCCATTCTTTCGTTGCCTTGTACTTTTTATCCCACATTCTTTGAATCAGGCCTTGGAGCTAAAAGAGAGCTTACACAAATGTTTTTGTAGATTTACTGTGGTCTCTAGTATGAATGAATGTATTGCGAGTCGAGTCGGGGGGTGGGGATGGGGGGTGCGGTCTATTACTGCATCAGTGCCGCTCTCTCAGTCTGCCAGGCGACGCCTCTTTCAGAAGCGTTTTCCTAACAGGAAGTGTGGATGACATACATCTCCACCCCTGCGTTGACCCTCACTTTAACCACAAGTTCAGCTCAGCTACGCCATTGGGCCTTCCGAGTACCTACCCCTGATCAGGTATTCAGAAAGTTCCTGAAAACGGCCGTTCGGCTTGCCCGGTCAAGTGGAGACACACACATATCGGGAAGTTCCTGTAAATTTACCCCAAAGTTCCGATAATGGGAATGCACCTGTTGTCCTTAATTCTGAATGGATGCAAAAGCTAAAGGCTGCTCACCACAGGGTTAGTTATAAAATAAATCACTGCCTACTTTCCTTTTATAGTGATGAATTAAAAAAATTGTGATCTTTGCTCGTCTTTCAGTCTTACATTAGTGATTACATATCGCTCTGTGGTTTATTGCAAGACAAACCAGATGCAGCAGTAGCTAGCTGTAGCAGTTCTGATGCAACCCAAAGCACTTCTTGCAGGAACGTCACAACTTATCTGCTTAAACAACTCCTTAACAAAAAATATCAGAGGTGTTAAAGATTCTGTTACAGTGACTCTGTACAGTCTGCTGAGTTTCAGTAGATAGAAAACATTTAAATAATTGGAATCATGAACTAAACTCAATGCGCTGTTTAGGCCTTGAGATGACTTGTTGTGAATTGGCGGTTTATAAATCAACTGAAGTTAAATTAAAAGTTAAATTTAGTCTTCAAGAACTGCTTTATATCAACTTTTGTGCCAACACTGTTTGAACTAGCTGTTAGCTTTTCAATCTGGTCAGAACTCTCACAAATACTCCTAAGCGTCGTCATTTTGGCAATATTAAAACGGCTTTCAGTGTCTTTCAGAATTCAGTGTAAGCTCATTCTATTTACATTTAAGCATATCCATGGCTTAGCCTACTCTTATTTATCCAACAACATATCTCTATGCCGGCAGACATGAACAACAAGGTCCTCTGACAAGCCTTTCCTGGAACTCCCTTGGTCCGGGTATCAGCAATGGGTTAATTGCACTTTCTCAGTGACAGCCCTCTATGCTTTTGAATAAGCTTCCCACAGACCTGCGTCTTACTCTTGACTTGTGCCATTTCAAAAGTAAACAAAAAACTAGAAGTCTCTGATACTATTGGCCTACTTTTAATGTCGGCTGATATCAACATTATAATTTAATATTGGAATTATCGGTTTTTAGTCTTTTAATGACACAACCTTTACTTACCACACACATTATACACCAAACTCTTCAGCTACTTCTCCTCAAAATGTCAAAGTATAACAGATCTGAGGTAAAAAAAGGGATATTTTAGTCAATTTAGCACAACTTGTGAAGTTGAACTTTGCCTTGTGTGGTGAACATACGCTGTCCTCACAACAGGAAGCTATGTGCAGCTAGCCAGCTAACAAACAACTAAAACAAGAACCTTCTGCAAAATCTTGCTTTTCTTATCGTAACATCTTTATAAATGTTTTGTCGCTATAGCTGCAATACAAGGAAAAAAAGAAGACGCCATTTTTACTAAACAATGCCATCAACGCCGTGGCAGCATCAAGGAGCCTTATTTATAAGTGGTCAGACCGTGGTGGTAATGAGGCACAGTCATGTCCTTTTTATAAAAGATTACGCGATGGCGGCATAAAGGGGTATGGGGGCGGTCCCTGCGCTGCCACAGACTTCCGTTTATCTTGGACACATCTTGCTTTTATTGCGATTGAAGCCACGATCATTATGTTTTTTATTTTGACAAGCCGCTCCTAAATGTGTCTGTCCCCGTGAGTCCCCGACTGCAGTCTTTGGTGATCTGAGCTCCATCTCTAACAGAGAGAAACTCATGGAGTGCTGCATCGCTTTAGTTTAGCATTTCAGCTGCTTCTGTGTACAAAGTGAAACTTTCATTTTCAGTATAGTTGCCCGTCGGAGCTCGACAGTAACTCCACACGCAATCTTTGGGGCAGCAATAGCTCAACAGGTTGAGCGGGTTGTTCAGTAATCGGAAGGTTGCAGGTTCGATCCCGGCTCCGGACAGAGAATTCTGCTGTTGTTGTGCTGGTGATGGTCGGAGGGACCGGTGGCGTCTGTGCTCGGCAGCCTCGCCTTCATCAGTGCTCCCCAGAGCAGCTGTGGCTACATCGTAGCTCATCACCATCAGTGTGTGAATGTGTGTGTGAATGGATGAATGATACACTGTAGTGTAAAGCGCTTTGGAGTCCTTACTCTGAGAGCCGCTACACAAGTGCGGATCATTTAATCATGACACCTCCCTCTGTTTCTCAAAGGCACAATCACCATTTACAAAACAGACAATTACTGCAACAGTTATTGCACATAATGCTGATTTGCCGGCACAGTGTGTCTTTTAAAAAGGGAAGACCCAATACATTAAATAATATAAAAAAAAAAATTTAACATTTGATTGGTAATGATAATATAACAATTATTAACTTTCATATTAAATTTATCAAGCTATTCGATAATACAACAATAATTATACCAAACAAAAATCCCACTTGACACTTAAGTACATAAATAATCCATGAGCAGGCAGAAAACCCTTGAAAGATTTAAGACTGCAGATTGTTTTGGAAAATGCTAATCTTGCTAACGAGATGCAGCTACTACAAACTTAGAAATGTATGTATCACATACGATACAGTGGGCCCTATAGGGTTAACTGATACACATCTTAGCATCACACTAAGGGATGCTGAGATTCAGCTGCGGTTGGAGGCAAAATAAATATGGCACTTTTCCTATTACCAACTTAAATTGAAGTAGTTGTCATTTTGCACAAATAAAGCTTAAAATTTAAGCATTCATGATAGGAAATATGTGATATTAGTGACCTAATATGTTTTAGTTTTTCTTTTAGTGGCTAAAAAGTGGTAGTCGTAACATAAATAAATTAAAGGAGAAAAAGTTGCAACAACGCCGCCCCGGGTTAACCCCCCAGAGAAGTGTAGAAGAAGGCCTGTAGGTTCAATGATCACAATGGGAACAGATGGTGTCTTTCCAATAAAACAAATCCTTGTTAAAATATCTAAGCTAAAAGCATACAGATGAAGTTAAGTGCTCAGAGTCCAGTTATCACCAGTCAGTCCACAAGAATTAACCACACTGGCCTAGGGCCAACAAATACTAAATAAAGTTAAACACACAAAAACTAAACACACAAAACACACCAAAGAATAATAATGAAAACATACAAAAAGACTAACTAAATCAGGATAATTCCTTTAACCCTGTGGGTGTTCTGGTGGTTGCCTCGGCAACCAGGCGTCTGACACCCAACATCTAATTAAAACAAACCAATGCAGACGCAACAGCAGTGAGGCAGCCCCCTGGGCACACCACCGGCTCTGGAGACGGGATTGGTCGTGGCGGGATGGTGAGATGGAGCAGCAGGAGGGTCGGTGCACCGCCGCCGCCGTCAGGCGCTCCGCTGATCTATGTGGTACCGCTGCGGGCAACGCCGGATGAAAGAGCGGCTAATGCCACACAGGCAACACAGGAGGGAGAGTACTTACAATTGCAGCTTGCAGTTGGAGTCTCAACCCACACTAGCACCTGAGGTGCCACACAAGAGCTTTACTGCTGGAGAAGCAGGCAGCTGCCTTTTATTGGATGGCTCGCCCCCCCTGCTATCCGTCCAATGCGAGCCGCCTGAGTCTTTACTGGGATGGGACCAGACCGGATCCATCTGTCCCATCACATTCTATTATAAGAGGAGTTCACAGCATTTATCAGTATGGGTTTATATTGGTATCAGAAATTAAAAGCCAGACAGTATCGGTTTATCGGATGTCAGTAAAAAATATCAATGATTGCTACACAAAACGTACGTTTTCAGACAAGCTTATATCGATAACATTTTTTTCGACCCTGATCTTCAAACAGGTTTTGTCATCTAATAATTTTGATATGCTGATATGTTTTTTTTTACTGTTTTTATTTTGTGAAACGATGAAATAAGATGCAAAGTAAAACTTTCACTGATGTTTGTGTGAATCAGGAGGAGATGTCTCGTGCCCAGGTGGTGATCCTGCACGGTCACCAGCTGGCTGCCAACCACCACTACGCCCTGGCACTGATCGTCCAGCGCTGCAATGAGCTGCGGCATCTCTGTGATGTTCTCAGTACCGCCATGCGCTCCAAGAGAGCCTCCCTGACACGATCACGAGACCTGATGCTTCGCCTCGAGGAGGTAAAATTTCTTAAACTTTGCACATTTAAACTTGATTTTAAATATTTTATTTATCTGTTTGCTTCCATAGACACTGCATAAGAATCCCGTTCTAAAAAAATATCTGACATTATTCGTGTGTTTAGTAACATTTTCTTTTTGATCAGGCGCTCCGCTGGTGTGACGAGGCCGCATATCTGCTCGCCAGTCAGATGGTGGACAAGTTTCAAACCAGAGAAGGAGCTCAAGAGGCTCTGCAGTACCTGAGCAGTCATCAGGAGAGGGCGCCATCTGCACTGAGCAGTCAGGACCATCTGAGCCTGGAGTTTGAAGCCATCCTCACGCCTCAGCTGCATGTAAACTGAGTGATGTTTCCACAATACAATCAAAAAAAAAATCTCACACCCCAACTCAGGTCACAGGGTTTCTTGTTGTCTGTGCAGTCCCAGATTACCATGGTAACAGAGAAGCTGAGCACAGTCCAGTCAATGATAAGAAACAGAGAGCAGTGTCTGAAGAAGCTGGCGGATGTGCAGGTTCGACCTATACAGCTGGTGGCTCCGCGGCCTGAGCCGGACCAGACCTTAATACGCTGCAAGTCACCTCTATTCTCTCCTAAACATGGTACAATTCACATATTCTCACTTTTATTTATCTGGCAGTATTTAGTCTTTTCACAACATTTCCTGTTTGCCTATTTCTGTGACACTCTGCAGGTGTAGACTTTAATGTCTTGAACTCAAAGTTCTCGTTTGACCTGCTTCCTGGCAAAAGAGCTGCAAGAAGGAACAACAGCCAACGCAAGGTGTGTGCATGCGTGCGTGCGTGCATGCATGCATGTGTGTGTGTGTGTGTGTGTGTGTGTGTGTGTAAATCTATCACCCATGTGTAGCTCCTGTCCCCTTGGACCAGGACCTTTGCATGTAAATTTCCTCCTTAACATTTTAAATCCCAACACAACATGATTGCATGCAGCTGAGTGCACAAGCTGACATGTTTTATGCGTTCTTCAGATTGAAGTAATGCACGATTACCAAGGCAACCGCAGCTGTCTGTACGGTCCCAACCCTGAGACGGATTCAGAAGCTGAGGACAATCCAGAGCAGGTCACACGGTGAGCAGTTTTATCTTCCATCAGAGCCGGTCCTTGACCTCAATCCCGACTCCTGTAGTCTGATCTTGCACAGCTGCATGTGTGTGCATATATAGAAATCCCAATTTATTTCACTTGTGACTTTTTGTAAAGATTTATTTTTATATTTTAGTCACATTATAAAGGAACTAATAGCCACAGAGAGGATTTACGTGGACGAGCTGCTCTCTGTCCTACTGGTGAGCTCTGCTATTTGTGCAGCAGCATATAAACTGAGAGAAAATCAGACTGTTAAATCTAAATATTTTGTATTTGTTGTTTTTGTATCCCCTCGTGAATCAGGGCTACAGGGCAGAAATGGAGGACCCCTCCATGGCTAATCTTCTTCCCTCAGCTCTCCGCAGCCAGAAAGATGTTCTGTTTGGGAACATGCCAGAGATTTACCAGTTCCACAGCAGGCTAGTTGCACACACACGCACACATTCAAGCTGTCGCCGACACATGTCTGTCTTGCTCTTTTTTATTCTAGTCTAATTCCCATTTCTTTTTTCTGTTGGATTCTCTGTTTAGGATCTTCTTCCGAGATCTTCAGAGTTGCTTGGAGACACCAGAGAGGGTGGGGGCTTGCTTTCTACAACGGGTAGGCAAACAAAAAGTGTAACATGAAGACTTTATTCAATATAAAACAAAACATAACATATAATAAGTTTCTGTTTGTGCATCTGAGCAGAAGGAAAAGTTCCAGGTGTACGAACGCTACTGCCAAAACAAGCCTTGCTCTGAGTTGCTATGGCGACAGTGCGCTGAATCACCTTTCTTTCAGGTAATTGCACATTTACTATATGATAACCTGATATAATTCTGTGTAAGGGTGTGTTTCCATTGGTTTATTCTGAATTTTACGGAGCACAATGTGTAACAAAAAACGAAAAAGGGCTTTAATTCATTGGTTTTTTGACACCACCCTCTGCAGGAGTGCCAGAAAAAACTGGACCACAAGTTGGGTCTCGATTCCTATCTCCTGAAACCAATCCAACGCCTCACCAAGTACCAGCTGCTGCTTAAGGTCTGGTACATGGAGAGAAATGCAGCTTAGAGTGGTTACAATCACCATTATGCAGGAGGGTTCAATATTAAATGTCCTTCACTGGAGGAAATCATTTTTACAGAGGATTAGTGCTCACTCTCTCATTTGCTGTTCAGCTTAATCCTGCAGGATTAGAACCAAAAACAAAAATAACAATTAAATGTTATCCTTTATTGTGTCTATCTAGAGATTTTGTGTCATGTTTGTGGCACAAAAAGTGAACAAATGCCAAACTAATCCACTTGTTTTATTGCCTGTTGCAAATACCAAGCATGCCTGTTATAGGTTTTATTACTCACCTTGAACTACCTTGTATAGTAAATTATTATTATTATTATTATTATTATTATTATTATTATTCATTTTTATAAAAAAGAAGCACTGATGAGGAAATGGTGGCACAAACGTTTAGCAGATGATTTGAAACAAACTCAGGCAAGCTGACTGCAGTTAGGCTCAATTTATTCAATTTGCAGAGTAGCAGACAAACTGTTTGACAAACCGGTGGTGATTTTTTTAGCTTCGTAGATTAGATCATGCAGGACGTGCTGACATGTCGTCCTGTGCATCTGTGTTTGCTCAGGAGCTTTTGAAGCACTGTGTGGAGGAGCATTATCGCTGTGAGCTGCAGGAGGCTCTTGAATCCATGCTGGAACTGTTAAAGTCAGTAAACGACTCCATGCATCAGATAGCCATCACTGGATATCAGGTATCAGCCGGTAAAAAAAAAAATACAGATTAAAACATACATTGGGGCAAAAACGTATTTTGCAAACACAAATTGTGCACTTAAAAAGATGAGAGAGGTCTGCACTTCTCATCAGAGGTACACAACAGTCTCTCTGCAACTGTGAGACACAGAATATAAAAATCCAGCAAATCACATCGTCTGATTTTTAAAAGATTTTCTTTTTGTATAATCGTGCAGAAAATAAGTATTTTACACCTACAAAAATCTAGTCCTCATAGACCCATTACTTGTTCTTTAAGAAGCTGTTCTATCCTCCACTCATAACCAGTATTAATGACACATGTTTGGAACTTGTTATCTGCATAAAAGTCACGTGTCCATTCCTTCAAACAGTCAGATTCTAACCTCCACCAAGACCAAGACCAGAGGGCTGTCAAACGAACAAGATTGTACACCTGCACAAGCCTGGGATGAGCCAGTCTACAGTAGCCAAGCAGGTCGGTGAGAAAAGATCATGTGTTGGAGCAGTTGTTAGAAAATAGAATAAATACAACATCAGCGACAACATCCCCTCGACCTGGGGATCCATGCAAGATCTCACCTCATGGGATACAAGTGATCTTGGAACTGTGAGGAATCCGCTCAGAACTACATGGGGCAACTGGTCAATGGCGAGAGCTGGGTCCACAGTAACAAAGGTTACTACTGGTAACACACTCCGTCGTCAAGTATTAAAATCCTGCAGTAGGGCTGGACTATAATTCAATAGTTCAATGTATCTACCGATAGACATGTGATGCGATAAAAAAAAAGAGTCAATAAAATTTCTAATAAAAGGTTTCCTTTTTTCATTATAACCTATCTGGTAGCAGCATACTAGACTGGGGCACGCTACGTCACCAGGCCCTCTCCTCTCAAGCCATAACAGAGCATGAGGCAGCAAGGGGTCACAGCGAGAAGAGGCGGAGAAAAAAAAACTAAAATACCAAAAAGAAAATGGCGAGGGCTGCACATAAAATATATCTTCTACAATTTTTAAATATTTTTCAACAATTATCGATTATCGATCAATATAACGATTTTTTTATCGATACACTTTTTTTGTATATCGTCCAGCCCTATCCTGCAGCACTCGAAAATTACCTCTGCTTAAGCCAGCACATGACCGGGCACGTCTTTAGCCAGAGACCTTCTAAACGATCTGGAGGAGGATCGGCAGAGTTTTGTGTGGTTGAATGAGACCATGTAGGTCTGGTATAAATGACACTTACCGTGTTTGGAGGAGAACTAATGCTGAGAAGCATGGGAGTGGAAACGTTTTGCTTTGGGGCTGCTTTTCTGCAAATGGGACGGGGAGAAATAAAGCATAAATGGAGTATTATGAGATTTTGGGTAAAACCTTCTTCCATTAGTGAGAGCATTGGAGTTGAAATCTGGCTGGATCTTCCAGCACGAGAATGATCCCAAACACACTGCCAGGCCAAAAAAGGAGTGGCCATGTAAAAAACATTTAAACATTCTGGAGTGGCTTAGCCAGCCTCCAGACCTCAATCCAACAGATAATCTATCTAGGGTGTTAAAAGTCTGTGTTGCCCAGTGAGAGCCTCAGAACATCACAGCTCTAAAGGAGATCTGCATGGAAGAACGGGCCAAAATACCAGCTACAGTGTGTGCAGACCTGGTGAAATCCTACTGGAAATGTTTGACCCCTTTCATTGTCACCCAAGTCTACATTACGAAGTATTGAGGTGAACTTTTGTTATTGACAAAATACTTAATTATGCACCGTTATACAAATAAATTCTTTAAAATTCTGTCTCTCACAGTTGAAGTGCACCTATGATGAAAACTACAAATCTCCCTCATTCTTTTAAATGGGGAAACTTGCACAATTGGTGCCTGCCAAATACGTTTTGCTCCACTGTATTTTTGATATATTATTGCATACTTTGCTTTTTTCTTCTAGTGATGAACATGTTGCTGGTGAAAACGGTTCTGTTTCTGTCTTTGGCTCAGGGGGATCTTAGCCAGCTAGGCCGTGTAATAATGCAAGGGAGCTTCAGCGTGTGGATCAGTCATAAACGGGCAGCTGTGCGAATGAAGGAGCTGGCCAGATTCAAACCCATGCAGCGACATCTCTTCCTGTATGAGCATGCAATTCTCTTCTGCAAGAGAAGGGACGAGGACAACCATGACAGGACGCCCTTCTACAGCTTCAAATCCTGCCTCAGAGTAACAATGCATCGTAGACCCACACTTGGCTGAATTTATCGAGTTTGCTATCTGAAGAGATTATGCTCAAGGCATTTAAAACACTTAAAAAATCTACAAGGAAATGTGTCTAACAGTTGTTTTTCTGTAGATGAGTGCAGTTGGAATCACAGAAACTATAAAAGGAGATGTGAAGAAATTTGAAATCAGTTACAGTGGCAGAGAAGTGGTGTACCTGATTCAGGTATGAATGACTTTGCTAGATCTTTAGTGTGTTGTAGTTTGTGCTTGTCTGTAATTGTGTGTATGGTTGTTTTTCTAGGCTCCCACAGTGGAAGCCAAAGTCGCCTGGATGACAGAGATTCAAAAGATTCTCACCAACCAGCCGAGACTGCATCAAGGTTTCTGTTCCTTAAGTTCTTGACTTTAGTTTTTTCCTCTGAAATGTCAGCTTTTTGTCTTTTGTACAAATCTCATGGCATACCTGCAGCTTTTTAAATTTTAGCCATATTTTGCACTTTACAATTTAGTTTTATCTTTTACTTAGTTATACTTGTATTTTCAATCCTTTGAAGCAACTTTTAATATGCTTCCTGCTTTTCCGTCCTACTGGTTTAAAACCAAATTACAGCTATCATAAACAAACAGCCTGCTATAACTAGTGCTAACAATGAGCTAATGCTAACACCAACTAACTGATATTAAATAAGCCATAGAGTAAAAAGATCCACCCTTATTATTGTTGTATTATTACTCACTATAGCAACTAAACCAGGTCACCATCATGCTGTGATTTTGTAGCCTCCTTCAGGCCCCTGAAACAAGCGTAGACTTTGCCGATATTGCCTCTGGTTTTAGATTGTTGCTTCGCCTCCAGAGACACTAATCTCATAATTTTACTTCTAGACTCTGACATGATGCCAACAAAAAATCTAAATTCTTTTTCTTCTTCTTGTGCTTTTTATCCAAGGTCGACAAACTGAAAAAGCTTACTACTAGCCTTTATTTTAGCCACTTGCACAGTAATCAGCCGTTGCCATAAAGCAGGTAGAATCCTCCCGCTAGTGTTCCTACCCGAACCACAAAAGCTGCTTTAGCAAATCTACAGAACAAGCTAGGTTTTCAACGCTAATGGACAATGGACAACACCACCCCTCAGGTATCTTTACAGAGACACTTCTGCCAGAACTGGAACGTGCATTGCCAAAGGAAACAAGAAAGTGCAAAACACCAGTTGCCATTTTGTTGTCCGTGACCTCAAATGGTGATTGTTTTTGGGACTCTAGTAGTTTGTACTAAAGTTGAAGTGGTAGAAGCCGGCTGTTTCTCCTTCTCTGATATTATTGAGCCGAAAAACCTCTCACACCAGTGGTGTTCTGCTGCTAAATGCACACATAAATGGAGGACTCAGGGAAGTGTGGCAGTTTGTTGAGACACATAACTGGATGGTCCGATAGATGCTTTTGGTTTGAAACGTGTTACGCGTCATTCGACAAATGCGAGAGAATCACCTTATGAAATATTTTTGTTAGTTTTTTATCTGCACATTATATTTATAGCTATACTATGTTAAAACTTTAAGATGCATGAAAAAAGTAACAGCTTTAAGAGAAGTTTCTGGTCAGCAGAGGGCTAGAATGTTGAAGTTGCTCAAGTTTATGGCTCAAGATCCACTAAAACCAGTGTGAAAGCAATGGCTTTCCATTTTTGTTAAGGATGAACTTCTTTTTGTTAAGGATAAACTTCTCTTATCTTTTTCTCAGATGAGGCTCCTTCCCTTCCTGCTTCAGACAACCTCCTCTATGACAGGTGATTTCCTTCATTTGCATATCTATAAATCTAATAAACAGTAATGAGCTCCAAAATGTTAAGATTTTATAAGTCAACACCACTAAAAACGTTCTACTCTAAATTAAGTCAACTTTTTTCATGAGCTCTGATTGTTTCCCACATCACGACAATCCAAACACCTCGTTGAGTCAATTATCTGTTACTCTGATGCTCATTTATTGAAAGTACCACCTCCCGAGGATGAAGGCAACAAAACAACATCACAGGGTGTTTGTGGGTGTGGGCCTGCTGAGTTATTGTGGTAGATGACAGTGATTTGCATGTCAGCATGCTTGATGAATGTTTGAGACTCGTGAGTGTCACAACACATAACATGGCTCTTATTCATTGTGCATGGGTTCATCATTTTAAATATTTATTAATATTTCATTAAATCATCAAAATCAGTGCCTGATGTTGTTTATTGTGGTGTGACAAAGACCTCTTTTGTAGAATGAAGTTAGTGTGACAGCTTCTTTCATTATTGTGATCATAGTCGCTGATGTTTTGATTGATGTTATTATCAAAGACCTGAGAGCCCAAACAATTAAATTAAGTATGTTTGAGACCAGCTAACAGGCAAAAGAAAAAAATGCAGGTAAATGAACAGGGAGTTTATAAATATGTACAAAAAGTCTAAAAATTCTAAGAGATAGGCTGGTTTAAAAAGGAAAGGTGGGAAACATTACTGACAAAAGTCAAACTTAAAGCTGCTATAGCAAATCTACAGAACAAGCTAGGTTTTGAACGCAAACACGATCACAGAACACTCACCCCGCCCCTCAGGTATCTTCTCTAAGACGCTTCTGCCGGAACAAACACCTACATTTCAAGAGGAAAGGAGAGCGCTCTAAACACCAGTCGCCTTTTCCTAGGTCCAAACATCTTTTGTTGACTTCAAATGATGCTTTTATTTTTGGGACTCTGGTAGTTTGTCCTAAAACTGAAGCGGTAGCAGCTGGCTGTTTCTCCTTCTCTGATATTATTGAGCCAAGAACCTCTCACACCAGTGGTGTTCTGTTGCTAAATACATGAATGTGTTATGAGTGGAGGTCCCAGGGAAGTGCGGAAACGTGGCGGTTCAACAAGATCGACAAGCGGATAGCCCAGTAGTTGGTTTTGTTCCATGTCCACTTTATTGGCAGAGGTAGACAAATGCAAGAGAACCACTTTAATAAAGTATTTTTTATCTGCACAATAAGTTTATAGCCATACTATGTTAGAACATTAAGAGACAAAGGTGTTTTAAGCTAACTTATTTTCCAAATTTGCTCTAGCAGCTCTAAAGGAATACTAGGCAGTTTTGCTTGCTTTCAGCACCCCCTAGTGTCCATTATTAATTCTTTGTGCTTAAACCGAAAATGAAATATGTCCTTGTTGTAAGTTTGTCTTTTTAACACCTTAATCTAACTGCTGAAATGTCTCCTCAGCTTTCATTAGTTTCTAGAGGAGCGATCCATCACTAAATCAAACAAATCAGTTGTGTTCACAATCTGTAACATGCAGGAAACATGTTGGAAGCTCCACTCCACTCCACAGCTCCCTCCACCAGCAGGGAGTGGCCCGCTAACTACTATACGAATTGCATGCCTTTAATATTAGATCTAGAAAGACAAAGAAAATAAATAAAACTAAGACAGTTTATTGCACTATATGAAAATACAAAACATTTTTCACTGCTTTGTTTGCTGTGTGGGCCTATATTACGAAGACAAAGTTTGGGTGTCCAAGTCTCTTTGGACAAGACACTTAAACCCCTTGTAGACCCCCTTCTCCATCCCATCCGATCTCCAAAACAGGGGTGTGACAGTCTACTTTGAACTGTTAAAATAACCACGAATCAGTTAGGCCTCCTTGTAGCTGGCTGCAGTATACAGTTTAAGCTCCACCCCCTCTATTCAAGTATTTGGGACATTTTTCTGACTAAGAATGAAATAAAAGCCTCAAATACATTTTTCAATTTTATGTTCATGTACAATATTACAGCATCCATAAAGTGAGATATATTGGGTTTAACAATAACAGAATTAGACAGAGACATGACATCTACCTTCAGTTTGCTGGTGAAGGTTCTCAGTCATCCAGGTCATGGTAATTCAAAAGGGGTAAGATGCAGGCAACTGGACTAATTTGGTTTCTTGAAGATGTTTCACTTCTCATCTGAGGAGTTTAGCCAATTCTAGCTGGATTATGGGAGAGTCAAGCTTTTAACCCTCTCAGGCTCAAAATAAGTTTTGATAAAAGGACGGACAACTAAGTCCTTCAGGGGTACTTCTGAGTTAATAAATGCTCATGAAATACATATGTAGAGTAACCAGGTAGATAGGTTTTAACTGTTGCAAATCTGCAACGCCTGCCTCCAGAGGGTTAAGTTGTAGCTGGATGAGAAGCAAAATGTCTTCAAGAAACCAAAAAAGTCAAGTTGCCTTTGTTTGAACCCTTTTTTTAAACTTCAGTTTCTATAGAACATTTTTTACCTAAATGAATAGTTCCATATATTTCTGCAAAATGATATTTTTAATAAAAAGAGAATCCAACATGGACGTTACTAAACCTTTGAAATCAGATGCTGAAATATATGTGATTGTGATCTAACAAGAATACTGTATTACTTTCCTGAATGTGGATAAAGTTTGAGTTTGTTTTGTGACATAGTTGTTGTTGTTGCTTGTTTTGTTTGTTGCGCTCGTGTCTTTGCTTCCCTGCTCATGCTGTTTAGTTCATCAGAGGTTTGTGTGTCATGGGGCGGTGCGTCGGTGGAAGGCTGCTCAGCGTGTCTCCCTCTTCCTCACAGCTCCACAGCAACAAGCCACTCCCACAGGTTCAGAGGGGAGGAGTCAACCCATTCCAGCCCTGCCCACTCCGACCCTGTGGTTCATTCACCCCGGCGCAGTGAGTCATTTAGACAAACACGTAATGAAAAGTGACCCAGTCTTTCCACTGGATGAGTAAGCGGTGCATTAAATAGATATGCTTTACTCACACGCTTACCGGGGTGTCCCTTCCCACTGGAAGTGTTTCAGATATCTTTTACTTAGAAAGTTTCCAAATGTTTTACTCTGAACTGATGAGCTTCACCCGTTCTGGAGGCGTAGCGCATAAAAAATAAACTTGAAATGTGATTTTAGTTGAGCGATGCGTCACTAAGCTTCCAGAATACATCCAAATTGCAACGTTTTGCGGCCTATGGGAATGTACCCATCTACTACAACATCTACTAAATGCTGCGTACTACACTTTGTGAATGTTACTCAATGCTTACACAGCCATTGGAAATGCCCGGTTATACAATAAGGTAAACACAAGTTACAAACCAAGAGTTACACACGCACAGATCTTTTGAGTCAGATTTCTCTCCATAAACATAGATGTTTAGCTAACACCTTTAAGCAGTTACTATATTTTTGTTATTATTTATCACTGTCATAATGTGAATGAGAGATTACAAACAAAGAAGAACTTAGATCAAAACATTTCTGAATAATTCACAATGCAAACCAATTTTTGAGGAAGTCTAATTGTATTGTATTAGTGCAGCTTGTGGTTGTTTCAGCTGTTTTTAATCTGCAGGTTGGCCCATTCCCGCTCACTCTGTCTGTGAGGCTCTGGAGGACTGGGGAGCCACTGACCTCTCTGCTATATCCGACTCAGAGGAGGAGGATCAGCCCACACCACTGGTGAAACAATGAGACAGAGATCATGCACTAAAAGACAAATTATGAATTCATTTTGGGTGTTTAAAGTCACATGACTAAAGCAAATGGTTTGCTGAACACAACAAAAGCCACCCCAACCAGTTGGCTCTGTTCAGTTAGGTAGTTTTTGAGGTGTTTCACACCACAAAAGCAGTTTTGTTGCTGGCAGTTACTGGTTTACTTGACCCTAATGGATGGCCATCAGGGTCAAAAATCCCTGGAAGCGCAATATTCAAACAACTCATTCAACCTCCAGCAAAATGACAAGCACATCAGACTCCCTTTCATTACTAGCAACGAGCGAATAGGTATATGTGTAAAACAACAACCTTTATGAATGGTGAAAGTTTTGTGATCGCTTGTTACAAATCAGTACATTTATTTTGTCCTCAGGGGCTCACGTAGAAGGAAACATGGCGTCGCCCAGAGACTTAGGCCTGCAGCTTAGTATTTAAGATTTTTTTTTTTTTAGATTTTTATGGTTACATGTTACGAAGTCATCAATAATTTTTAACAACTGGGCATCATTTAATTCATTTTCAACAACATTTTAATGGATATTTCCAGAGATTAACTCATTCACTGCCATTGACGACTAAAGTCGTCATTTTAGATCCAACCGTTCACTGCCAATGACGACTTTAGTCGTCATTGGCATTTTTTTTTACTGTTTGAGCATCGGAACGAGCCCCCGCGCTGAGAGAACAAACATCTTAGCCCTGAAGCCAATCTTCATCCGCATACGTCACAGATCACATGATCAGGAAACAACATATCCATGTGTTTGGAGATCGTTTTGGGCCGTTCCTGTAAAAAAAGTGAGGCGCGAACTGGAAAAGCGTCTGCCGATCACAATTCGACAATGGATTATGAAAGAACGGATATCACTCGAAACACGCAGCTTCTTCCTGATGTAAGAGGTGAGTCTCCTCTTTGTTTTGGCATCGACATCATGCTAGCGCGCAACGTTCTGTGACTCTTAAAAAACAGTAAAAAACGGTGAGAAACGCTGGCAGCGAAGGCTGTTAGTGATCAGGAAACGGCTGGCAGTGAGTGAGTTAATGATAAAACTACACATTGTCACTTTAGAGGTTTTTTTATTTAGCTACATTTAATTCTAAATTGGAGCAAAATTAAAATAGTTGGTCTCAGTAGAGTTCATATTTGTTCAGCAGGTTCAAATGTATAGCTTTCATGCATGGCTGTGAACACATTTTCGAAACAACTTTTTTCCAGGTGGCGGGCAGGTACAGAGTCATGGTAGAAAGCAGCATGGCCAGCACTGATGACATCATCTTTAACTGCGGTGATGTAATCCAGCTCCTTCATGAGGATTCTTCGGGAATGTGGTAATGTACACAAAGATAAATATTAAAAATAACATTAAAAGTCGAACCATGGACTCGTAATGAATGTTGAGAAGTTTTTGTTTACTACAGGGTGGTGAAGAACATAAGTCGCGGTGAAGAAGGACGCGTTCAGAATGAAGACTTGCACAGGATTCTGGGAGAAACCTGCTGAGGGCCAATTAAAACAGAGAAATAACCTCCAGTAAATAAATTAATTAATAATGACCCAAATGCCCCTCCATACATACAGATTAACATAATCCATGAAATAAGGAAGAAAAGCCGACTCAGCCTCAGACTTCCCTCCTCAAAATACTACGGCAACTACACCTCAGGGGAGTGTAAACTTCAGAAGGGACCTCAGAAGATTGTAAAAACCGAAAGCACACCGAAGCCATTCATCCTTCAGCAGTGATGCAATAGAAAAATGTAATTAGCAGGAAGCTGACTTTGAGAAGTTGTATAATTTCTATTTTATTATGACATATCACTGACAGCGTACGTATGCCTACTGACAAATCACACATGTGCCAAACAGCTACACTAACCACTGCAGAGTCATCGAGTGTAAAAATCAGATTTATTACAGTGTTGTTATTGTAGCTGTCTTCTTTGTCATAGGATGTACATGTTGTGTATGCAAACATGGATAATACACTTCATAGCGATAAATGTGAACATTGATAGTCTTCCAGGTCCATTCATTTGGCACAAATAAAAAAAAAAGGAAATGTTTTGGGGTCAGGCAATTTTAGGTCATTCAGCTTGTTTTATAACTGACAGCTACTTCAGTGTGTTTGAGTACATTTCATTTAATAGACAATCTTTACTTGTAATCATGCCCACAAAAACACTGTTGAGTCCCTGTGTTAAGCCCGGTTTACACTGCAGGATAATCATGCCAAATTTTAAATTATTTTTCAACCTTTATTTATCCAGGTAAAATGTTCGAGAACTTCTTATTTACAAACATGACCTGGCTAGATGTATTGGAGGGAGTGCAAAGACAAAACACACACACACATGCATGCACGCACGCACACACACACACAAGCATGCATGCACGCACGCACGCACACACACACACACACACACACACACACACACACACACACACACACACGCACGCACACACACACATTTACATTTGAGCATCTAAAAGAAGAGAAAACTGATGACAGAGCATGTAAGAGCAGATAAAGGCGCACGTTCATGAAAAGGGAGGCATTGCTTGCAGACGTGAATTCAGATACATTTGTCAGCCTCCAGATGGTGTCGTTGGATAAAAAATTCCGTATTATAGGTTTAAAACAGAGATTAACGTTGTGAAAAGATTGCTCAACAGAGGTTAGGGTGAGTTGAAGTGTAGCTGCTGCAGAAGTGGGAGAAGAACCAACTGCGTACAAGATGGTATCATCATCAGCATACATTTGAATCTGAGAATTATCTGCAGCTTTAGCAACATCCCTGATGTAAATAAACAATAGAGTTGGGCTCAAGATGGAGCCTTGCAGTACACTTTTTGGGAATGATAAGTGGTTCTCATGAGATGTGTCCAGTCCTCGGCTGCTGGATACAGTTGGTTAGATATCTAGCAAACCAGTCAGAGCAAGAAGGAGACTGACGTTAGTTTGTGTAACAGGATATTGTGGTTGACTGAGTCGAAAGCCTTAGCCAGAATAAATAATGGCAGTTATGAAGACCTACTTACTGTCTAAGGCAGTGAGAAAATTATCAACAACTTTCATGGTGGCTTTCACTTATCTATTTTGAGTCCAGAAACCAGATTGCAGGTCTGAACGAATGTAGTTGGAGACAAGGCAGTGAATTAAGTTCTCTAGGACTTAGACGTGGTCATAAGGAGATGGGTCGATAGCATTAAGGTCAGAGTTAGAGCAATATTTGAATAGGGGGAAGATCGTGGCTGATTTAAAATCTGGAGGTGGGATGGAGAGTTGTGACGACAAATGGTTAATAGCCTCTATTTAAATAGTGCCTTCTAAGGTTAGGTGGAGTAGATGTATCTCAGTGACATCCCCCTGAATCAGTACCTTGACCAAAACAGTTTGGAGTAGAGAGTCACTGGCAATGCACGGGCCGGCGCATGTCACTCAGAAACTCCCCTCCATTGTTGGTTCGTATCAATGCAGAATAGAAAAACAGAATAGAAGAAGATTGAAAAGATAGAATAAAGAAAAAACGAGAAAGACAGAATAGAGAATACAGAAAAAAGGAAGAAAAAAAAGAAAGAAACAAGGATAGAAAAAAATTTGATGAAGAACAGGTAACAGATGTGGCGTCGTCGTGTGACGCTCAACCACACCCGAGCCGGTCTAGGCTTAACCTGTCTCCCCCAATTCCCTCTCCTAAGTATAGGAGAAGGAATGGGAGAGGAAAAAGAGATGAGCAGGCAGATCACGCCGGAGTGTAGAGTTTATAGGTGAAAAGTAAAGTGGGTAGATGGCACAAACTAACTTCCCTAGTTTTAAACATTCTTCCTAAATCAGTACTAATTGGCCACAAGGGGTCTAGATTAAGATTAGCGCTACACCTCATGATTAGCATCTAGAAAGTAAGATTGGTAAGGATTAGAGCTACCCTTCAGGGTTAGGGGTTTAACAGGGATAGAAAAGAACTTGAGAAGGAACAGGTAACAGATGTGGCGTCGTCGTGTGACGCTCAACCACACCCGAGCCGGTCTAGGCTTAACCTGTCTCCCCCAATTCCCCCTCCTAAGTATAGGAGAAGGAATGGGAGAGGAAAAGAGATGAGCAGGCAGACAACGCTGGAATGTAGAGTTTATAGGTGAAAAGTAAAGTGGGTAGATGGCACAATCTAACCTCCATAGTGTGTAAACATTTTTCCTAAATAAATACTAATTGGCCACAAGGGGTCTAGATTAAGATTAGCGCTACAACTCAGGGTTAGCATCTAAAAAGTAAGATTGGTTAGGATTGGAACTTTAGGGTTAGGGTTAGGATTAGGTGCATTACAACACAACAAGTCATTCACACACACATTCACATGCTGATGGTGATGAGCTAAAATGTAGCCGCAGCTGCCCTGGGACCCACTGGCAGAAGCAACCCTGCTAAACAGTGGTGCCAATGGTTCTTCTGACCACCACCAGCAGGCAATGTGGGTTAAGTGTCTTGCCCAAGGACACAATAACTGAGACAGATGGGGCTTGAACCTGCAACCCTCCAGTTACAGGATGGGTAAATACAGTGGGGCAAAAAAGTATTTAGTCAGCCACCGATTGTGCAAGTTCTCCCACTTAAAATGATGACAGAGGTCAGTAATTTTCATCATAGGTACATTTCAACTGTGAGAGACAGAATGTGAAAAAAAAATCCACGAATTCACATGGCAGGATTTTTAAAGAATTTATTTGTAAATCAGGGTGGAAAATAAGGATTTGGTCAATAACAAAAATTCAACTCAATACTTTGTAACATAACCTTTGTTGGCAATAACAGAGGTCAAATGATTACTATAGGTCTTTACCAGGTTTGCACACACAGTAGCTAGTATTTTGGCCCATTCCTCCATGCAGATCTTCTCGAGAGCAGTGATGTTTTGGGGCTGTCGCCGAGCAACACGGACTTTCAACTCCCTCCACAGATTTTCTATGGGGTTGAGGTCTGGAGACTGGCTAGGCCACTCCAGGACTTTCAAATGCTTCTTACGGAGCCACTCCTTTGTTGCCCGGGCGGTGTGTTTGGGATCATTGTCATGTTGGAAGACCCAGCCACGTTTCATCTTCAAAGCTCTCACTGATGGAAGGAGGTTTTGGCTCAGAATCTCACGATCCATGGCCCCATTCATTCTGTCCTTAACACGGATCAGTCGTCCTGTCCCCTTAGCAGAAAAACAGTCCCAAAGCATGATGTTCCCACCCCCATGCTTCACAGTAGGTATGGTGTTCTTGGGACGCAACTCAGCATTCTTCTTGCTCCAAACAGGACGAGTTGAGTTTATACCAAAAAGTTCTACTTTGGTTTCATCTGACCACATGACATTCTCCCAGTCCTCTGCTGTATCATCCATGTGCTCTCTGGCAAACTTCAGACGGGCCTGGACATGCACTGGCTTCAGCAGCGGAACACGTCTGGCACTGCAGGATTTGATTCCCTGCCGTTGTAGTGTGTTACTGATGGTGACCTTTGTTACTGTGGTCCCAGCTCTCTGCAGGTCATTCACCAGGTCCCCCCGTGTGGTTCTGGGATTCTTGCTCACTGTTCTCATGATCATTTTGATCCCACGGGATGAGATCTTGCGTGGAGCCCCAGATCGAGGGAGATTATCAGTGGTCTTGTATGTCTTCCATTTTCTGATAATTGCTCCCACTGTTGATTTTTTCCACACCAAGCTGCTTGCCTATTGTAGATTCACTCTTCCCAGTCTGGTGCAGGTCTACAATTCTTTTCCTGGTGTCCTTCGAAAGCTCTTTGGTCTTGGCCATAGTGGAGTTTGGAGTCTGACTGTTTGAGGATGTGGACGGGTGTCTTTTATACAGATAATGAGTTAAAACAGGTGCCATTAATACAGGTAACGAGTGGAGGACAGAAGAGCTTCTTAAAGAAGACGTTACAGGTCTGTGAAAGCCAGAGATTTTCCTTATTTGAAGTGAACAAATACTTATTTTCCACCCTGATTTACAAATAAATTCTTTAAAAATCCTGCCATGTGAATTCATGGATTTTTTTTTCACATTCTGTCTCTCACAGTTGAAGTGTACCTATGATGTAAATTACTGACCTCTGTCATCATTTTAAATGGGAGAACTAGCACAATCTGTGGCTGACTAAATACTTTTTTGCCCCACTGTAACTCCTCTGAAACTGTCACCCAACATGTCAAATATCCTTGTGACGGGAGCAGCAGTAGTTTACCATTCAGCTTGGTGCGTTCGTCCTGTGCCTCTGAGATGGAGAGAGGGTTAAAGGGGAGATCGGTAATGCTGGAAGCAGAAAGATGAGTAACAGAAGATGTTGAGATGAGGGTTGGAACAGGGAGAGCTTTGTTTATGGACCAGCCCCGTTACGGTTGAGCAAACAGACTGACGTGCTGCCTGTTGAATGTGACGAATAGCCAATCAAAACACAAAGCGTCCTCGGCCATGTTTGTTTACATCGTAGTCATGTTTCATCTCGAAACATTTCCCGTCTGAGTTGCTGCACACCACACACTGTATGACAAAAAATTGGTCTACCTGTGATTTATGTTATCACCACCTGTGTGGTTTCTTTATGCTTTAAAAATCAGCTGAATATTTTAAAATGTGAATCGGGCTTAACGAGAACTGATCTTGTTTCATAAAAGTCAAGGTTACAATACTTTATTTGAAATAAGGGTTTAAATCTGTTTTACTTCAGTCTGATTACAATTTTTTTTAGCTTGCAATAAAATACATTATCAGTTTAACACTGTTAAAAAAGATGATGATGGGCTGCATGGTGACAGAATCACTGCTTTAATGGTCAGAGTTTTAAGGAGAATACATGTAAAACCATTATTTTACATGCTTATGGTCAACTTTCCTTTCATTTTAAAATGCCTTGTTCACGCTATACAAAAGTATTTTTAATATGTATTTTGCTTGTTTAGGACTCTCCTCCATAATACATGTAGATTAGTCTCTGTGCAGACAGATTTGTGTCATTTCTCAAGTTACAGGACCATTTTGTAAACAGCTAAATAGAAATGTGAAAAATGGCAATGTATAATTTTAACAACTAAACAAACTATCTCTTGGTCAGCTTGCAGATACTAATCAGTTCTCGTGATAACACCACTGTAGGAAGATCCATTTGTGTCTAACTGTTTTTCTTCAGGTCAGATTAGATCCTAGACAAATGCTGCATACCGAAATTAAATGTCACTGTATTTAACACCCACAGTGGAACTGTAATAAATAAGTATATCAAGTGGTCTTTAAGATTAGAACCATTTCTTCATTTTAATTGTTAAACTCATCCACCAGTGTTGTGACACAAATTGTTTCTGTATTTAAACTGATGCTCGCTGCTTTTGTTCACTTTGCACTTTTTGTAAATATGTCTGACTCATAGAGAAAGCTTGTATATTTGCAAATATTGTTTTATGAAATATAAGCACACATTTGATTTGATTCAGTCTGACTGTTGTGATTTATTGCAGCCTCGTTTTTTAAAACATTTTACCTGAAATATTGTAAAATTTGCTTCGATTTTTTCCCCCAACTTTTTTATCGTCTGTGTTCTCCTACGGAGCCCCTAAGATGAAACCAGAGTTATACTTAGTTTGAATTGACATATTTTATTTTATTGTTAAAAGACAGGTTTTCTACATTGTTAGATGGTTATTTTAGTAACACTTTAAGATTAATTGAATATTCAGTTCAAGTGTAATTTCTATCAAAAGAACCCCAAACTTTTTAAAACTTAATTTTTTTTAATACATTTAGTTCTGAACCAGGACTTCAACACATTCTCACACCCAAAGCGTCGAAAAATGACGCGTGTGACCAAGCCTCCGAATCCCGCGGTTACACGGACATTTGACCGAGTTGTGACCTACTTAACGTTCCCCTCACCCCATTCTAAACTTAACCAGCTTGCGCATGCAAAGCTTAATTGAAAATTACTGAGTTAAGGTTTGGATGGGGGTGAGCGGAATGTTAAATCGCTAGAAGTTCGAGGTGAAATGTCCGTGTCACTGTGGGCGTTGGATATGTACGCCCGCGGTGACACATGTCCCTGCACGTCCTCTCCAGAAGAGCTGGGGCACCCTGAATCGTCGTATTTTGAGGCTTGGTCACACGCGTCATTTTTTGACGCTGTTGGAGTGAGTTTTAGGTTTGCATTGTTGGATTGTATGGAGCCTCTAAGGAGACATATGAGAGAAAAAGTTACCTAACTAACCCTAGATTGTTTTTTTTTTGTGCACATCAGAAATGTAGGATTTTTTATTTCTTCTCAAATAAGTTTTCTTTTCTTTCCTTTTTATCCCGTGTCCTGTTTGGCTGTAAAGCAAACGTAATTGATGTCTGACAATTTTTACTCTCACAGGTGTATAGATTCAGCTATAATGCCTCACCTGATGCCAAAATGTTATTAGAAATATTTTTGGTGGTTTTAAATCCCAATGAACATGAAAACAGAAAAGAAAGAGAAAGGTAGAAGAGGAAAGGAAGAGATGGAGGGAAAAGTTCACAATAACACAGAGCTTTTTTTTTAAACGAATGACACAATGTAGGAGCAGTTTGGGGTTAGAATAAGCTTCTCAGAGCTTCTTCTGCACAAGAGAAACTACGTCATGCAGATAAAAATCTTTTTATTTTTTGCATTGGCCTCATCTTGGTGCTGTAGGATTGTCTTTTGGAAGACTTTCTTAAAGAAATTTCTCTCTTTTGTGTACAACCTTAGTATCTCATTTCCTCCACTTTTTATTTACTGATTGTTAGCCTCCTTAGCTGTTGCCCTCACACACCTGACCTCCAATTTTCATTGTTTTCCTGGACTATACATTTCTACGGTTGTGTAATTTGCTGACCCTTCTGGGCCACTGTACATTTCAATAGGCTTGAACAAAAGAGGGAAGATGTTAAAAGCCATCTGATAATCAGTTTGTGGAGTTCTGGATTCTAAGAATTCCCATAGAAACTACATTTATGATTAAAAACAAAGATGTCAATGTGAAACTACTGAAACAATTTTTTTTAACTGTTTCCTTGTTGGGAATAAGAGATGATGGAAACATCACACAAGAGTTTGACAAGTCTTGTGAAAAGCAAGATATGATTTTATTAATTTGTTTATTATTGGGTCTCTGTGATCCCGGTTGTCTCACTGACCCATTTGTAGTACCGCGAGACTCTGGTGTAGATGCCATATTTCCCCTTCCTGGCACACTCCTCCCCCCAGCTGACGATGCCTGTCAGGAACCAGGTGCCTTTATAACTGGTGGCGTGTGGCCCGCCGCTGTCCCCCTGACACGAATCCTTCTCTCCGTCTGGATATCCGGCGCAGAACATGAAGCGCGTGATGCGCTCGCTGCTGCTCTGTTTGCACAGGGTTCGATCCACATGTGGGATGGAAAGCTTCTGAAGTTTGTTAGCTTCACGGCCAAGGAATTGTTGCCGTCCCCAACCACTCACCAGAGAGCTCGTAGACTCTCTCAGTAGGGTCTGTATAAAGTCTTTGGGACCCAGACAAATGGGACGCCTCTTGTTGGACAGCTCTACCGGAGTGGCGAGCTTCAGCAGGGCTATGTCGTGGTTGTACCGGGACACTGTGTAGTCATAGATGGGGTGCACATGCTGCTCGACTACTTCGTGGTCTCTCTCTGGACCCTCATGCACAGTCACATCATGCTCACCTGGAAGTTAAAAGTGTGATCTTGTCAACCACTGGAATTAGTGAAGCACAAACATTAGGACTTCACAGATCTACCTAAAGAAAATCAGCAGTGTTTAATTAATTTTTTTTTATTTTTACCAGCTCTGACGAAGAAATATTCTCTGGTGTGATCGGGATCCTTCAGACAATGAGCGGCAGTGATAACCCATAATTCACTGAGCAGAGAGCCCCCACAGAAGGACAGCGCTCTGCCAAGAGACGCTGAGGGAGACATCAGTGTCACCTGTAAACACAAACAGAAAAAAATGTTTTTAAAAGGATCGTTTTAGTAATTCTACATTGCTCACTTCTTGCAAAACCCAGCATTATATTGCATCACACCTCATTAAGCACATTGCATGTCAACAAATCAAGAGTAACAAGCTTTATCTACTGAGAACCAGCTGGGATTTATTAGATTTGAAGTCATAATTTCAACTAATCTGCAGTAGAATGAACTTCTGTGGAAAAAAGCTCTGGCGCTCCTGTTTTGGGAAGTACGAGTCAGAAAAGTGGAGAGCAGAAAACGATAGGAAGCATCTCGTTTCTGATTGGCTAACAGCAGCTTCCACTGCCTCAGTTCGTTCCTCTGTCTTAGGAAAAAAAATGCAACATTAATGTGTCTGAATGTGTCGCACCATGTTGTGGAGTTGCTAATGCTAACAGTTAGCTTCTGCTAGCCGAGCCACTCTCTGCCGCTACATCAATGCAGCTTTTTGTGGTCGCACGCCAAAGCGGATGAGTCCATGTTTCATTGTGACGTAGAAGAGACTGACTTCTTATAACCAAAAACTTTCCCCTTCCATTTACTTTCTGCGACTAAAGCGGGAAATGGGGTAGAAAAGCATTTTTGCATTCAGCATGCATGTGAAACTCAGTGACTGGTCACATTTTAAAAAGAACAACTCTCAGTGAATCACACTTTAAAGCTTTTGCTATGTTTCCTCATATTAACCAAGTGGTTTCAGTGATTTTTCAATAACTAACTCAAGACCAGCATCAAAATAAACTGAACAAAGACACTCTGTACCTGCCAAGGGATCTCCCCAGGGATGGCTTCATTTCCTCCCACAATCCTCCGGTTGGGGTTGTTTTCAGCTGTGGTGTTGGGGGGGTTGGAGAAACCCCCCAGAGTCATCTCAGTGTCATTCAGCTCTTCTGTCTCATCTGGACTCAAAGTAGGACCATAGTCCAGGTCCACTGAGCTCGCATTTGTGTCAAAGTCCAGAAAGATGTCTGACAGCGCCGTCAAAGGTGGCAAAAGGCTGAGGTCATCACTTTTGCTGGTGTCATTGGTGGAATTCAGTGTTGAAGCATTCTGAGGCATGTATTCTGACATCATTAAGGACCTGGTAACAGAACCATGGGACAGAACCACACGACCACAACTGAACTGAGCTGAAGAGAAAAGAAAAGAAGAGATGGTCAGGTTGTTTCTCTAAACATCTGTTTCTTTCTTCTCAACACAACTTAAAAAAAAAACTCTTTTGCGCATCAATATAATTTTTTTGATTGAGCAGAAATACAGTGATTTTAAGCCAAAATATTGGAGTGTTAATAAGGATCACATCCTTCATGTCTTAAACCATTCAGAAGCTTCAATCACAGGGGGGTTAACTGGAACAACGTCTGCAGAGACAAGACTAGATGTAAAAATGTGCCGTAGGGCACCATTATAGCAGTCTTGGGAATTTTCTGGGAGGAGGGAAGGTGACAGGGAAAATATGCTTTCTCTGTCCCCTTAGTTTTTATGTCTCCACACAAAATCAGCTCTTTCAGGACTTTGCTAAGATGTCAACGTGTTGCAACCATTACAGCCATGAGTAACATCCCTGATCAGCACCAAAAAGCCTCGATGGAGATTCTAAATATTAAAAAAGTTTAAGTATGCCATAACTGAATCCATTTGGGGAATCAGGAGAGCAGGTGTGCAACTTAAGAGGTGGTTTTCAATGACCAAACAGAATTTCTCATGGCGTTCAGTAGGAGACCACCAAGCACCGCTAATCACTGCATTATTTCTGCCACGTTTTCCATTGGGAGTTTAGAAACAACAATGTCAGTCCTGCTTACTTTTTTCTCCTTTCATTCCGCTTCACCAGCAACTCTTCCAACTTTACAGATGCTGGTACTTTGGCTATGCTACCTATGTTACATTGGCAGTGCTCTGAGGAAGGCTACAGCGTTGGCCCAAACTTTTCAGCAAAAAAGGTCAAACAAATCTTTAATACAATGGAAGGATTACACAGAACAAACGTACAAAAGATGCTCAATGGTTGTGTTTTACATACTTGCTGCTGAATGGCACTGCACTGCATGTAGTACTGGAGTCTTCCACTAGGTGGTACACTAGACTACTCAGACCAAGTTTGTGGATGCAACCAAAACAAATGAGATCAGTAACTGGTTCATTTGGAGATCAAGACAAAAAACCAGACACCAGTGGTATCTTAGATGATGTGAAATACCTCTACACCAGAGATAGAGTCACCATAGTGAGTGTGTCTGCTCGTTTAGTCAACTCCACCTACTGGACACTCGTATAGTGCAGCCTTCAGACGCGTTGCTTTAATTTCGGAGGATGCTCACAAACAAAACTTCAACTGAATGCAATTTTTGCGCGTGGCAGCCATTTTAAACATGCACATGCTTTGTTAAATAGCAAGTATATGTTTTGTATGACTTGTATGTTCTGTCACCTAATGGTTCACAGGATTTCTTGTCTGTCCCCAGTTTATAACCAGCAGCGCAGTGACACGCAGCTCGCTGATTTTCCATCACGCAGAAATGTAAACAGCCACCATTGTTGATTGAGCACAGCTTTGTCATATCTGTTAAAAACAAGAACAGAAGTTTAGTTGAAATATAATTTCTTTGAAAGTTTTAGGATTTTAGTTGTGTCAAACTCACAAATCTCACAGTTTTTGCCGCTGTAATTTGGTTTGCACCAGCAAGTATAAGAGCTGATTCCATCCACACACTCACCTCCATTCTGGCAAGGTTGTGGTTTACACTGATCACCATCTACACACCGGCATATGAAACACACACACACACACACACACACACACACACACACACACACACACACACACACACACACACACACACACACACACACACACATTTAATCACATTCTGTAGACGCGTGGGAACTTGACTTTATTCATCTCACCAACATAGAGAGTCCAGAACTCATTCTGAAAGAGAGTATCAGGAGTGAAGTGAACTCTTGTCTTTGTTAAGTAACTCATCACGTTTGTTTATAACCTACAGTTTTCTCATCATCCTCAAACACCTCCCTGGCCTCCTCAAACGAACACACTTCCTCTTTACATTCTCGCTCCAGGTTGGCTTTTTGAAACACTTCTTCCACATGACCACTGTTGTGTCTTCTCTGGCGAGGAAGCACCATGTGTGCTACCTGTTGGGTCACGAATACGCCTCCTAAAAGGAATAGAAAAAAAAACCCATCAAAATTTCTCTTTGGCTGTTTTCTTCAGCCCTGGAGGACGTATGCAGAGGCTCTTTAGCATCAAGTCGTCATGGCTGTAAAAGTACTCATATCTATGACAGATGACACTATTCTCCAACTCTGACCTCATATTTAATCAGCTTTAGAAAGAGCTGGGTGGATATGATTTAAATCAACATGCCTCTACTCAGACAAACCTATGCCAGCTCATCTCACTGGCTTGAGAGGCACTTCCATCCAAAGACTATGACCTCACTTAGTGATCTGTCCATTATCCTTCTCTACTTTACTCAGACAGCCCCTGATCCAACCTGTCACTATGCTGTCCACAAACATGGATCTCTTTGCGTTTGAAAAGAGATGAAATAGATACTACATCTGAATTGTGTTGGCATTGCTTTAACTTTTACATTTTATGTATATTATGTAGGTGAGGGATCAGACAAAGAGCAGCCCGAAGACGTCTTATGATGAATTATATAAATGGAAACCGTGTTCCCTCGCCTGGACATGGGTCAACCCCCCCCCCCCCCCCCCCCCCCCCCCCGGAGCTAGGTCTGGAGGTGGGGCACGCTGGCGAGCGCCTGGTGGCCGGGCTTTCACCCATGGAGCCCGGCCGGGAAGAGGAAACGTGGGTCCCCCTTCCCGTGGGCTCACCACTCGTGGGAGGGGCCACAGGGGTTGGGTGCAGTGTGTGACGGGTGGTAGTCAAGGGCGGGAACCTTGGCGGTCTGATCCTCGGCTACAGAAGCTGGCTCTTGGCACATAGAATGTCACCTCTCTGGTGGGGAAGGAGCCTGAATTGGTGTGTGAGGTTGAGAGGTTCCGACTAGATATAGTCAGACTCACCTCAATGCATGGCTCTTGCTCTGGAACCAGTTTCCTTGAGAGGGTTTGGACTTTCTACCACTCTGGAGTTGCTCCCACTTAGAGGCGCCGAGCAGGGGTGGATATACTAGTCGCCCCCCATCTTGGTGCCTGTACGTTGGGGTTTACCCCAGTGAATGAGAGGGTAGCCTCCCTCCGCCTACGTGTGGGGGGTTCTGACTGTGGTCTGTGCTTATGCTCCAAACTACAGTTCAGACTACCCACCCTTTTTGGAGACCTTGGAGAGGGTGCTAGAAAGCGCTCCTTCCGGTTACTCCCTCGTTCTGCTGGGGGACTTTAACGCTCACGTGGGCATTGACAGTGAGACCTGAAGAGGTGTGGTTGGGAGGAATGGCCCCCCTGATCTGAATTCGAGTGGTGTTTTGTCATTGGACTTCTGTGGCAGTCATGGATTGTCCATAATGAACACCATGTTCAGACATAAAGTTGTCCATATGTGCTCTTGGCACCAGGATACCTTAGGCTGCAGCTCGATGATCGACTTTGTTGTGGTTTTGTCTGACCTGCGGCCGCATGTCTTGGACACTCAGGTGAAGAGAGGGGCAGAGCTGTCAACAGACCACTACCTGGTGGTGAGTTTGCTCAGATGGTGGGGGAGGATGCCGGTCAGACCAGTCAGGCCCAAACGTATCGCGAGGGTCTGCTGGGAACATCTGGCAGAGTCTCCTGTCAGAAGGAGCTTCAATTCCCACCTCCGACAGAACTTCCAAAATATTCCGGGGGAGGCGGGGGACATTGCGTCTGAATGGACCCTGTTCTGTGCCTCCATTATTGAGGTGGCCGACCGGAGCTGTGGATCATCTGTGCCTGTCGTGGTGGCAACCCCCGAACCCGCTGGTAGACAACCAGCGGTTAGGGATGCTGTCAAGCTAAAGAAAGAGTCCTATCAGGTATTTTTGGCCTGTGGGACTCCAGAGGCAGCTGACGGGTACCGTCAGTCCAAGCGGAACTCGGCTCGGGTGGTCACCAAGGCAAAAACCCGGGCATTTGGAGGAGTTCGGTGAGACCATGGAGCAAGACTTCCATACGGCTTTGAGGAGATTCTGGTCCACCATCCGGAGCCTCGGGGGGGGGGGGGGGGGGGGGGGGGGGGAGCAGTGCGCTACCAACACTATCTATAGTGGGGACAGTGTGCTGCTGATCTTTACTCAGGACGTTGTGGATCGGTGGGCAGAATACTTCAAAGACCTCCTCAATCCCACCGACACGTCTTCCAGTGAGGAAGCAGAGTCTGGGGACTTTGGGTTGGCCTCTCAAATCTCTGGTTCTGAGGTCACTGAGGTGGTTAAAAAGCTCCTCTGTGGCAAGGCTCCAGTGGTGGATGAGATTCGCCCAGAGTTCCTCAAGGCTCTGGATGTTGTGGGGCTGTGTTGGCTGACGCGGCTCTGCAATATCGCGTGGACATCGGGGGCAGTCCACTGGACTGGTAGACCGGGGTGGTGGTCCCCTTAGTTAAAAAGGGGGACCGCAGGGTGTGTTCCAACTACAGGGGGATCACACTCCTGAGCCTTCCTGGTAAGGTCTATTCAGGGGTTCTGGAGAGGAGGGTCCATCGGCTTGTTGAACCTCAGATTCAGGAAGAGCAATGTGGTTTTCGTCCTGGCCGTGGAACACTGGACCAGCTCTATACCCTTGGGGGATCCTGGAGGGTGCATGGGAATTTGCCCAACCAGTCTACATTAGTGGATTTAGAGAAGGCGTTTGACCGCGTCCTTCAGGGGGCCCTGTGGGGGGTACACAGGGAGTATGGGGTACCAGGCCCTCTGATATGGGCTGTTAGGTCCCTGTATGACTGGTGTCAGAGCTTGGTCCGCATTGCTGGCAGTAAGTCGGGCTCGTTCCCAGTGAGAGTTGGACTCCGTGTCACCAATTCTGTTCATAACCTTTATGGACAGGATTTCTAAGCACAGCCGAGTGTGAAACAGCTGGGATTAGAATCAGCTCCTTTAAACTGAGACCATGGTCTTGATTCGGAAAAGGATAGAATGCCTTCTCTGGGTCAGGGATGAGGTCCTGCCCCAAGTGGAGGAGTTCAAGTATCTCGGGGTCTTGTTCACGAGTGAGGGAAAACTGGAGCGTGAGATCGATAGGCGGATTGGTGCTGCATCTGCAGTGATGCAGTCGTTGTACTGGTCTGTCATGGTGAAGAGAGAGCTGAGTCAGAAGGTGGTCGATCTACGTTCCTACCCTAACCTATGGTCATGAGCTTTGGGTAGTGACCGAAAGAACGAGATCGCGGATACATGCGGCCGAAATGAGTTTTCTCTGAAGAGTGGCTGGGCTCTCCCTTAGAGATAGGGTGAGAAACTCTGTCATTCTGGAGTGGCTCGGAGTAGACCCGCTGCTCCTCCACATCGAGAGGAGCCATTTGAGGTGGCTCGGGCATCTGGTCAGGATGCCTCCTGGACGCGTCCCTGGTGAGGTTTCCGTGCACGTCCAACCGGGAGGAGTCCTAAATGTAGACCCAGGACATGGTGGAGGGACTATATCTGTCACGTGGCCAGGGAATGCTTTGAGAGATTCCCTCCGAGGAGCTGACCCAAGTGGCTGGGGAGAGGGAAGTCTGGGCCTCTTGCCTTAGGCTACTGCCCCCGCGACCCGACTCTAAGCGGATGAAAATGGATGAATGGATGGATGAATGGATGTTATGTATATTTTTGAGCAGAATTATTAGTGATTGAGCCAGATGTGCTGCAGAAGCTGGTGAAACTGACAATAATGTTGATAACATTGGCTGCATGGCGGCGCAGTGGTTAGCACTGTTGCCTCGCAGCACGAAGGTTGCAGGTTCGAAACTCGGCTCGGCTGCGGCCTTTCTTTGTGGAGTTCCGTGTTCTCCCCATGCATGTGTGGGTTTCCTCCGGGTACTCCGGTTTCTCCCACAGATCACAACATGCCCTATAGGTTATAAATTGTAAGTCGCTTTGGATAAAAGCATCTCCTAAATGAATAAACATAAACATAAACATTTGCAGGAAAAACCTTGAATATGTTAAGATACAAGTTCTGTTAAAGACGAGGTTGACTGAGGAACATAAAACACTTGTTTTCTTTAAATACGATTGGTCACTGAGTTTCATATGCCTGCAGAATGTGAAAACAGTCTTCTACCCCTTTTTCCTGCATTAGCTGTTGAAAGAAGATAAATGGGAAAACACTCGGGTCAGAAAAGGCCACACACATCTACATCACACTGTAAGTTAGCAATCATTGGTTCACCCATCTTGCCTTGCAACTACAGAAAGCTGTGATTCTTTAGCGTCCAGGAGACAGCAGAGCATGATTTGGCAAGCAGATGCTAACTGTTAGCATTAACAACTCCATAACAAAGCAGAACTCCTTCAGATTTGTGGAGATAACCAACAACCCAAAAAGAAGAGCAATCAAAGGCATCAGAAGAGTAGCAATGCGGTTAGCCAATCACAGACGATATGCTCACATACCATGAAATTTTAATGAGTAAATCTCCTCCCAATCTCACTCTACAAATGTCTGCTTCCTGAAACAGGAACACAAGAGTCCAAGCCCCACTCTGATTAGATAATCTCTGTTTCTCCAAACTGAGTTTGTTCATGAAGATATATTTGACTGACTACATCAGTAACACTTAGAAAGACTGCAGTTATTCCATTAAGGTTTTCCACTGATTTCATTTTATCAAATCTTATTTTAGCAAGTAAAATAAGCAGCAGAAAATATTCTCTTGCTTGAAATCAATTAAAGTCAAGTAAAATCACATCTGAGACAATCACACAAACTGAAGCTGGTGTGGATACAGATGTTTTAATGAAATTCCCAAGTTGAAGTTTTAATTTGTTTCAATATTCAACAACCAGGTGGTCACACTCGTCATCTCGAAGCTTTGACTCAACCTCTCAATCAATACCAGTTCTGATGTCTGTTCTTTATTTACCTGAGTTTTCTTCTTTAGTCTCATCACCAAGTCCATGTACTTCCAAATGAAAACTAGCAATAACAATCAGAAAACACACTCGTACCATGTTGCTGTTTTCACACCAGCCCAAAAACCAAATCAGTGTCGAGGAAATGAATCCAAAGTGCAACAAGTAGATGTTTACTCAGCTGTGTGACCACAGTGTGTTTGTTCTTTTACATTTCTGTGTTCCTGCATGTGAAAACGACTGAATGAGAAAGAAAATTAGAAGAATGTGTGTGTGTGTGTGTGTGTAGATATTATCAGCTGTTTTATGTTTTTGTTGTCATATTGAGGAGCTTTTGCAACATGTGCAGACATAATTAGTTGCACAGAGGATTTTCATTGTCAAATAAAATATGCCCTCCTCATAAAACCAAAAAAATAATAATTCTGACAAAGCAGAAGAGAATTTCACCAGCTGCATTTAATCCATCATCCGGGTAAAAACACGTTTACAGTTTTGGTCAATGAAAGTGTTGATGAAATAGCTGCACAGCTATTCCATCACATATCGATGTGGGAGAAGTTTGGGTAGCTCTGAACAAAATAAAGCTGAATTGTAACTGCACCACCAGGGGCCCTCAAAAGCACCAAGATAGCGTGAATGGAAATAAAAAACTTTAAATTATACAAACACAATTATATCACATATGGAAAATGAATGATATATTATTTTCTATAATGTAATTATTTTTGTTCAGTTATTTCAAAGTGTTCCAAATTTTAGAAACAAAAGTCCTGACTTGTTTACTATACATTCTGTGTTTTTCTTTCTTCAGATATAACTTTTAAATAGTTGAATTAATATACCACAATTAAATAACACTGAATTTAAAAATGCAAATTAATTATAGCATATGTGTTACTTTTCTAATAATGTAAGGTTAAACATCAATAGTCATTAAAGAGCCAGTATAAAATAAGCTAATAACTAAATATGCTAATGGAATTGGGTATGTTACACACAATGTGAAGCCTAGGAATTATGAATTTTCTGGTGTTGGCTGATTGATGTGGGGGTCCAAAAGAAAACCACTTAGGATCCCAAAAATGCTTGGACCGGCCCTGGCAGAACACGTTCAATCACTGAACATCTAGACTCAACTGGTCTGCATGCAAAGAAACAAGAGCTAGGTGAAAAATCTAGCACAGTACTAAACATGCATGCTTAACAGATCTTCAGAAACAACTAAACATTTGTCTGGAAGCAAAGACAAAATTATTTGATAATACAAGCTGACTCAATGTGTTCAGAGCTTTTGCTCCCAGATTAAAAGATGAAAAAAAAACAAGTTTTTGTAAAGTGGTAAAACAATGAAATTTTAAGATCTGTGCTAATGCATCAAATGTCACCATTTGATCCGATAAATGTTTCTGTTTTCTGAGGCAAATGGGCTCAGACTGCAGGGGTGGACTGGCCTATCTGGCATTCTGGCACTGTCCCGGTGGGCTGCTTAGCCAAGTGAGCTGCTTGCCCAGCTTGGGCCGACACTACTCCACAGTTGGTGATCTGCAGAACATTAGCTACATGGTAAGCTGAAGCTGACAGCGTTTTTCCAGGTGTTTTTAGCAAGAAAAACGCAATAGAGCGATAATGTCCCGCTGATCTCTGCCCGTGGAGAATGAGCTCATCTGGAAGGCCAGGGCTCCCGGTCGCAGCGGTCTGGCCCTGCTTGTAATTTAACAGTCCCAGTCCATATTAGATCTCACATTCGGCCTAGAGACGAGTCCGCGGGCGGTAACACCCCTCACCCCCACCGCTCTCCTGAGGGGGAGGGCCGACATGAGGGCCGACGATTTGTAAAAATGCCAGGGCCGAATTTTGGTCCCAGTCCACCCCTGGCTCAGAGCCTATTTCAACACAGGAAAGTGTGAAATGACAGCAAACGCTTGACCTAATCCAACGTTCTGCCCACTGAGGTGAAGTACTGCCGATCCTCAGACGTGATGACGAGAATCGACGGCTGTGTGATTAGAGTTTGAGTTACACCGGGTGTGGTGGCAAACAAATCACTGTGGCTGTCAGCAGATCAGCTGGCATACTGTAGAGTTTGGCAGCTCCTTAGCAACAGTGGTCTTTTGATTCATTGATTACTTCAACGGGATGAGGGAGTTTCAGTAGAACTTGTGACAGTTTGTAGATTTTTTTAACACTGCAGGCTAGAAATTTTGTCCCAACTAGAATTAAATCTATCTTCACCGATTGGTGTCCTGAGATCAGATCTTTTAGTGCTGAGGACAGCAGTGTAGGAGGTAACAAACTCACACGTAAAAATGGATACACTGATAACTTAGATAATACAACAGACATCATATACGTAGATGCGACATGAACTAGCTGCATATCGGAGCTGACGTAACATCGGGCCACCATCTTGGATGAGTTCTCAATTGCCCCAGTTTAATTTTTCTTTCTACTGAGTTAAGTGTCCCCTTTAGGATGGGAAACGACTATATCTCACCCCTCTTTTCCCACCTTCTGGAAAATTTCCCATACTATGCTCATTCATGGAGACACCCCCACCCCCCACCCCCACTCACGGAGACCTGAGAATTATTATTCCAGCCTCCTTAAAAGTTGATGTTACTCAGTTTACAGAGATGTTTGACAGGGACAGTCAGATGTAGCTTCTGACGGTAAACAAGGAAACTGTATAAACATTTTTCCCAACAGGTAGGCTAAAAAAGTCACTAGTAATCCCATGTTATCTGCTTTTAAAAGCATGCAGTAGTTGTTGCAACCGTAGGGTGCACAAGAAAATGGGCATTGTTTGTCACGTGTTACTTCCCTTGCCCTTGTGCCTTGGGTTTTACCTTAACCCTCCCACCCTTTATGGGTGACCCCGCGAGGAAAGTTGACCTTTGAGCAGGATTGATGGTTTATCCCTTGAGGTCCACGTGGCAGGAGTGAGGTGGTGCTCACTCCTCACCCCTGCCACATGGACCCAAGGGATAAACCATCCACCTGCCTCTTGTTACCTGATTACCCATCCCTGTTTGTATAAGCTTTGCATGTTGCTAGTGTGTCTTTTCGGATTTCTTACATGTCAGTTTGTGTTACACCTGTCTACCCTGTCGTGTCTGTGCTCCTGACCAGTTAAGAGGAACCAAATGTCCATTACTGTTTTCCCTGGGTTGATTTACCTGCCTGAAGGATCCGCTCTTCCTCCCTCATCTTCCCTCCACATCGTGGCGTTGTTGCTCGCTCTGTGTTGACTCCGGTTTGGTTAGGAGAGCTATGAAACCCATCCCATATGCTGTTATGCTCTCCAGTGCCCTATGGCATGTCTACGCAGTCATGTCTATGGATAATACCAGTTTAGCCAATGGTGACAGCTGATGTGACTGATTCAGATTCGAATGACTTTTAGGCTGATGGTTTTAGACAGAATATTTATATTTTGAATTAGATGCACAAAAATGCCAAAACAATGACTACACATGTCTACAACACTAATAGACACTAATTTTTACCGTTTATCAGCAAAATAAATAAATAAATAAATAAAATAAACATTTTGGGGTTAACTTCCTCTTCAAGAGAGCACAAGTACAAAGAAAAAAACACACAAGAACTTCTCACAAAAAGAACATCTGGCTAAACTGTCATTTCTCAGAAACTGATTCCAGAGTGACTTCTGCTGCTCAAAGCAGGAACAGATGAATGTGACACTTGTTGTTCTAATAGAGCAGCTGGTCCTCGATCAGTAATCTATAGAGGGAAACTCTGGCACAAGACCAGCTGTGATTTACTCTTCTGGCACATTTAGGAGCTATGACTCAAAGCGACTGATTTGATGCTGCAGACTTGTTTATTTTAGTCACAGAAACTGCAAGAAACACGAGAGGGTTAGAAAAACACTGATCAGGAGAATGGATCTGAAATAACTGTTTCTATATCCCAGTCAGCATATGTAGGTGGGCCCCATATAGAATACATATGGTTAACTGGTTTTGTCCGTGGTTTCCATGGTAGCCCCATATGGGTTTGCCCACATAGATGTTAACGGACCCTACAAAGGTTTTCAGAGGTACCCAGATGGTTTGACTCACACATGAGCCCATTAAAATCTTTGGTGAACTCCTGTGGGGCCACCATGGAAACCACGGACAAAACCAATTGGGACCCATTTTGTTAGCCCGTATGTATTCCTATATGAGACCCACCAAAATATGAAACTTTAGTTATTTAACTTCAATAACTTCATTTGTTGTAGCTCCTTCTACTTCATTTGTTTTTCATGTCACACTTAACACGTGTCACAGATGCTCACCCAAACCGTATTGAAACCATCATGTTCATACCATCACAGGAAGAAACATGTCTTTTTGATGTAAAACATTTGAATAATAATAATAATAATAATACATCAAACTTATATGGCGCTTTTTAGGACACTCAGTGACACTTGCATGCACTCTCACTTTCACACACTGCTAGTGATGGTAAGCTACTTGTAGCCACAGCCGCCCTAGGGCGGTCTGACAGAGGCGAGGCTGCTATTTGGTGCCGTCGGCCCCTCTGACCACCATCAACACAGGCAAGTTGGGTCAAGTGTCTTGCCCAAGGACACAACAGAAGAATACCCCTGGTGGGAGCTGGAATCGGACCCATGACCCTCCTATCATGAGGCAACCTGCTCTACCTCCTGAGCTACTTTTGCCCCGTTGTTTTAATCAAAACTTGCATGTAATTTACAAACTCATAGCAGATGGAATAGCTCATTTCTTGAAATGGTTAAGCTGAGATAGGTTTTAAATGACTCGATCTTGCAGTTCTTGGAGGACGTCAGCGTCTTCGCCACATAATCTCCAGACATAGTCTCTATTTATAAATGTGCATTATTTTTATCACCTTAAGACACATGAACATTAAATACAGACATTTACAACACACAAAGAGAGTGACCAAACAGACACTCATGCATTGTTTTTCCTCGTTAAAAATGTTATTTTCCTGCTCTAAATTGACAAAATGATCAATGAGCCAATCCATTCACAGTGTTTGTTTGCTGAGTTTGCAGGTAGATCTGCAGTAATTGGACAGTAAACAGCCTCATAAATATATTGATCTTCCAGTAGGGAAGTAAAATGAAAATCAGGTTTTTTACTCCTTTTGTCCTTGCTTCCCCTGTC